TATATGAATGTACAGCTCCGATCTCTATAATTCAAAACGTTTGGACTTTTCAACATTTTTCGATTCGATGCGCCGATTTTCATATACGACACACGCTCTTAACGAGATCCAGACTCTACCTTATTGTTGAAAATCGGCAGGAGATCGCGCGAAGATCGGTACTAGAGCTTCGGATATTCTTGATACATAATCGATGTATAAACCTACTTGATTATAATACCTTTGATGTTTTGCAGCTTCTTATCCACCATACTCTCTTTCGTAATTCCTAAATAATTCATGTACTGATTTTCCGTGTTTCTTTTCCCGATGGATCGTTTCATAAAAGTTTATTATAACTTTCAAAGAAAACTTAATTTTTTACTCATCGATCGGTATAGGAAAATCGACAGGTGCAGTACCGGACGAATTACTTGTCAGTGAACGATTACAATGGGATTTACAATTTTTTGTGTACTTACAAACGCTTACAAACGATTCCTTGCTTATCGGCCCAAGATATATCTCATAGCCGCTCGACTGATCGATGTGATCGCCGAGATCGGAGCAGCCGCGACTCGAGTCCGCTACCACAATTATTGGTGCTGCAACTGGAATTCTCCGAACTCGAGAGCTCGACAAACGATCGATTCTTGTGATTACTTCTCATACTTCGCCAAGATCGCTACATCATGTTATCTTTAATAATATATTTTTTAATAAAAACTCCATAATTAAATCTTTGATCGAGTATTGCTTATTCAATTATATAAATAAATTAATATTCTGCGATAACACTAGCGTTTTGAAAATGAAGGTTTTCTTGTATTCGAACGCAACAAGATATACTTGAATAATATTTATGATATAAACTTTTTTGTCACATAATGACTCTAATGAGGGATTTCAATAATTTCAAAGTAAATCTAAATATACTACAACGGCTTGAATAAAAGCAGTCGGATTCTACAGGTTAGTTGACTAGCACAGGTTTATTGTACTATCGGCGTGACTGAGCTTGAAAAGTATCATCTATTATTAATATTTTTTTAATCCCTCGTTGTTCAAGAAATTAAATTCAAAATGCTAGGACTAACTTGGCAAAAAAAGGTTTTTATTTTTTCAAACTTGAGGGCTTTCAAGATTTCGTCTCTACATATAATACAAAAAGATCATCAAATAAGATAAAACTTATATCAATCGATTTGTTAGATCTTCAAAATGAGATTCCAAAAAGAAAACATATGGTTGACGATCTAACTTTCGTGATAAACAAGTTTGAAAATGGCGATTTTAACAAGGGCTCTTATGGGACGCGGTCTTTTGTTGTTTATAACTAATTTAAAAGATCAGCCATTTTAATAAAAAAATATATTTTCTGAAAGAGAAGTTCCAAACTTTCGATTGGTATGTTAAAAATTATCCCTTAACGAACTAACTAATGAGCAATTAAACAAAACCATTGATTTCGAATAGTACGAGCGGTTGTCTAATGCGAGAAAGAGACAGTCAGATGTCTCGAGAAAGAGACGTACAGATGCCTGTACTATTGTTATGATTGGTGTGGAGCCTCCTTAATTTCAAAAAAGAATATGAAAAAATATCTCCAAATGCATCTAAATACGAATTCCAATTTTTCGGCAGCCATTGCGAACGGTTACTTTGAAAGATGCTTATTGTCTCTATATCAGCTATTTACTGTTTATCGTTGCATCGTTTGAAATAACTTTTTGGATAATGATGATGTGTATTACGAGGCGCTCACGCGACATATGTAACCTTGTATACGAACGAAGAAAGAGACAAAAAATTTAGAGTTAATAGAACGTATACTTTCTAACTATCAATGCGGCGTCTGATTGATTTCACTTTTGAACCATGCGATGGGCCTAACACGTGTACGAAATCGAGGCAAAGAAGTAGTAGAGGCTCAGTGTCGGTTCGGCGAGCAATGTGCTAAGACTATAGGACGCAGTGTAAAATATTCACAATGAGCGGAATTGAAACTTCAATTTTCAACGGACGTGTTAAACATTTAATAACTAAGATAACTTGGTTAATTTTCGCGGTCTACTTAAGTGTCAATTTCGTTTTTTTTGCTTACAGTATAACACAATCCTTCGGCTTTCTAGCCAAGAGTGAAGCATGGCTCAGTAGTGAAGTTATTGATCATTACATACCTTTCAGTGCCTTGGAAAATACCACCCTCTATTACGGCATTTGCGACAAAACCGTCAAGTTGACGCGACAGAAGGAATGTTTAATTCGTCGATTGCAGGCAGATTTCTCGAAAGACATACCGAAGCAACACCTATGCAAAATCACGCTGAGCTCCGAGTCGGGTGGCTTCATCCAAACGCATCTGATTAAAATCGAACCTTTGGGCAATGATCGAGCGATATTGCGTTGGTTCGAGAGCGACGGGGGCGAAGGTGACCCGTATCATTTGCGATTCAGCATCGTCGACTTTTCCAATTGTAGCGTTAAAACGACCAAACTTTCGGCAGATCTCAATCAGCTGATTACAAATATAAATGATCGCTCGAGAGTCCGAATATTATTTTCTTTCCGGCCGGGCCAGAGGTCCTGTATCCAATATGGCGATGAGAAATTCAACAAGCTGAAATATCTCAAAGGACAGGATGATTTTGAAGTTCTGTTAGAAGATTGGGACAAAGTGTACAGATCATCGATCGATTCTCATGGAGTCGCTTCGAAGGTCGATACGTTGGTTACTTACCCCGAAGATGCTTTGGTCGAGCCACTAATTGTTCCCTTGTCAAAGGACGAGGGTTATTTGTTCGTCGAAACATTAAGGCCTTTCAAGCCCGAAAACCCGTCGATTACAGTGGCTCTTATTCAACCAAACGGTAATAATTAAAAAATAAATTGATTTTAATTTTCATAATTTGTATTAACATTAATGAGACATTTTTTTATATTTTTAGGTCAAAGGCAGAATTTGACTAGTGTCAAAGATGTTGACTCACCTGTGGTCTCCTTGGCCAACGGATTGATCGGTATATGCGCCCGACAGAACAATAAAACGATGTTATGCACACAGTTCAAGCTCGACGACAAAAAGATCACTTGGTTTTCAGTTAAAATTCTCGAGGACTATTGTGAAAAAAATCGAGTCATATATAATTTACCTAGAGGCGGAGGATTTCTGACTTACGGCGCCTACGATTTCATAATGACCAATGCAACCGACAAGTACCTTGTAAATTTCGGTACGAATGTAGATGATACTTACTTGAATCCTCATACTCAATGCAAGCCCGAAGAGGCCGGCTTCAATAACATTTTCGAAGACGACAAGGGAAATTATTGCGTGAGCACGACCTGCATGGGAAGGTACGACGATTATTTCGCGAACTATGTAAAATTGCACTCCAAATGCTACAACCAATTTATTGTGCCCACATTTATGGCACCGAGTTACTTAATAATACTGATGATAATGATTGTTGTATTATTAATGTTGGTGTTCAAACATTACTGCGGTTAGAATTATTTTCAAATATACGCTGTGTATGTGTGCTCTCGCTTTCGATATCACTGCCTCTCAACTGTGAGAAATCCCCCCAGGTGAAAATGGTTGGTTAGATTTGACTGCAAATCTGATTTAAGTTCTGGTGAACGCACATCAGATCTTATCCCAGATCTTATATCAGAATTTGTATTCGATAATCGACATCAGAACTTACATCAGATCTAATGTCAGCTCACATATCCATTGTGAGTATATGATAATATAAATCCTATAGCTTTGACTCATTAACTTAAGTTAGCCTGTCTGCGATTGGATAACTTTTAACAATCATCGAATGTAATAATATCTAAAGTAATATTGCCTAAATCTTGTAAATGGTTACTTCATTATTCTACGTATTTTCAATTGAAATTTTACCTTGTAAAAATAATATCGCAAAAAAAAGTTCGTTCAGCATGTGCAATAGTTGTTGACACTAGTTTATATATCATCATTATAACATTTTTATTGCATTATAAATCAATTTCCATCGTATTACTCTATTAATGTATAACTTAGAAATTAATTATTTATGTACAATTTTTATATTTATTTGCGACATCCGTCAATGCGACGCATGTGAGTTTATATTGTATGATGCACATATAGAGAGAATGAAACTGTAAATAATAAACTTCGAATTCTATAAGATCAAATTTCCCAGAATCGTTTAACCAATCAATCAAATTTTTTCTCTTCGGCTAGAATAATAAAAATTGAACCAAGAGAAATGTTAAACGAGACATTTCAGAATTGCTGCATACGAAGAGAACCTTCAGGAAGGATTCGACGCCGGCATACATTGTTCGTCGGCAATTACGGCTGCAGATCGAGCGAGCGACAAAAACAGATTCCTCGCTTATCGGCCCAAGATATATCGCATAGCCGCTCGACGCGCGAGCCATGATCGCCGAGATCGGAGCAGTCGCGCGACTCGAGTCCGATACCAGAATTATTGGTGCTGCAACTGGAGTTCTCCGAACCCGAGAGCTCGACAAACGATCGATTCTTGGAAACGCAAATTATAGGAGAAAACGAAAAGGGAGAGTATAGGAAAATTCGTACGATATTGCGTCGGAGAATATGGGACTGTATATTATCGAACCATTTCACGATTATAACGCCCGAGTTCGGCATAATGTTTTGCGCATATCGTACGACAACGCAGTCTCGTGTGGGCTGCAGAAATATCCGATTACTCCGTATGCAGGAGTAGTAGTGAGGGACTGCATATATGCATATAGGACTCATCACTTATAAGCGCAGAGGCGACGCTTACTCGGCGCTTCTCAACGGTCTACTCTTTCTCTATATAATATGCTTCGGAGCTTACACAAGTACATACATCGCACATATGTACATTCTCAAGATGTATAGTGCGTTATATGCTCGTACTATAGGTTTTTAGGCGCGCGTCGCTACTACTGCTGCTGCTGCTGCTATACGGACTGTCTGCAGCACACGACACCGAAAGACCGCCGATACAGAACTCGAGACTTTGCGCCTCGATGTCTCTGCTTGGATAGAGAAGTCGTCTACACACACGCATACTAATACGTATATACGAGCAGTGGCAGGTCGCTGCTACTCGCTATCGACTATATACTTCATCATATACATTGCGAATCGTGCACTGCTGCGCGAGACAAGAGTCGAAAAGCTCCGACGACGACGACGACGACGACGACGTCTTGCTGCGAGCAAAGAGACACAGATCTTCTCTTTTGTTTTTGTTCTACTTGTTGTGTGTACACGGCCGCCACTCCGCTGTTCGCGTTTGACGTGCAGCTCGCCCGCGCTGATACACAAGAGATTTTGTTTTTTGTTTCTCTACTCGTTGTCGGTCGTTCGTCGCAAAAATAACGGGCAAAAAAATGGCAGTGAAGGAGAAGCAGGCCGACTCCACCGAGGACATAGACTGGAACGTCGAGAACGAGATACAATTGTTCGTCGCCATGAACGGACACAAGCCCGTCGGTGAGAGCACACGCACAATTTTTGTTGTTTCGTCCGTCGCCTCCTATATCATTGTTGTCGCGTGCAGCATTTGCCGCGTGTTTTTTTCTCTCTCAATGTGCATAATAATACGCCGACCCAATTCGTTACCGTCCATTTTTCCACCCTCGCGCGCGCGAGAGGTTATGTCGATTGCAACGATGTCCTTCCTCACGTATTGTGCATTTTTATTATTTATATGTATGCGTCGATGTCTGCGGCATCGAGCCCGTTCGCGCGCGCGACTCGTATCAAAGCTGCTGCTCATCAGTTCGGCTCTGATCGATTTTACGTCGTGATGATGACATATTCATTTATCTCGAATTCGTTTTACAGGTGTAAACAAATACTTCCACATGGTCTGCATCTGGGAAAAGTTCCGCTCTGCCATAAACAAAGATGCATCCCTCAAAGCTATCTGGGACCATCTCAAGTCCATGTACGATCTCATGACCCTCGTAAGTATTTGGTCGGCCGAAACATTTTTCAAAGCCACGATTTGTTTATTAATATCACACCCAGATGCATGTGTCTCGTGCCGATGACATTTCAAGGCATCGACATTTTTTTCAATTTGTTATTAACAAAATAACCGCGGGCTTGACAATCGATGGCTTTTCGATGGAGTTTTTAATACTTCGTATTTTTTTATCAGGATGACATGGAAGATGTGCCTTTTCCGAGTGACGAGACAGATTTTACTTGGCCTGAAAGCGAATTCTCCGAGCTAGTGAAGAATCGTAAAAAGGATGAGGCCGACGTTAAACCAAAAGAGATAAAGGAGAAAGTCAAAGAAATCAAAAAAGAAAAGGATGTAAAGGAGGTGAAGAAAGAGATTGTGACTCGCGATTCCAGCAAAAGCGGCAAGGATTCAGACAGGAAAAAGGAAGATATCAAAAAGATTAAAACTGAGTCTGAAATCAAGAAGGAGAGCAAAATGCGCGAAGCTAAAGAAGTTAAAAAAGAACAAAAAGCTACCAAAGGACGTTCCAAAGTTAAGGAAGAGCCAGAAGATATAGGTGAGCTATTATTACACGTTACTTTCGAGTTTTTTAATTACTTATACCTTTTTCACTTATGGTCAATGCATTGACTTTTACAGGACCACCGATGAAAAAAGAGCGAAAGGATTCAGAATCCAGTCGTGAAAGTTCAAAGAGACTAGCACCAAAGAGACCAACAAGACAAAGCACTGATAATGCATCTAAAGTTGCTACGTCAAGTCCTAGAAATACTCCTCCACCTACCAAACGTAGGAGATTGTAATTTTAATATTACTGTTTACCAAATTTATATCTACATTTCTAAATATAATTTGTATAGTTTTACAAGTAGTAATTTACCCAGCGGTTGACTAATAGGTCGTAGAATATGTAGGATGATCACCTTCAACAATGCCATTGTTCTTTTTCAATTATATTATAATCAAAACTATAAAATAATGAAAAAGGCATTTGACATATTGTATAAAATGTTTATACAATCACATATCTATGAGTATGATTGATTAATGTTGTTTTTAAAACAGTGGTTATGTACTGAGTTAAAGTCAATCTCTGGATACTTTACCCTATTTCTTATTAATTCTTATTAATCAACAGTTGATATTTAAATATTATTATATCATATGTCATCATAGAGATGAAAGTTACATTGTAAATAAACTCAAATACTTTTTTAAATCAATGCGATCATCTTCATTCAAAGTATTTAAACCTTTTTAGTTCCATTAAAAGTGAGAGAAATTTTTTTAATTTTCATACTGAAGTAAACTATATTATAAATGATGCAAAAAAAGGAAGTTGGAAAAGAATAATTGTACAAATAGTATGTATCTACCAACAAATGTTTATTCCATTCAACGAACGCTTGGTTTTTAGAAATTGCATGATATTTTGGTCTCGGAAGATGGGTATTTTACAAAGACAACTTGTACAAAATCCATAAAAACTAAATTTCAGTCTTCGGTATCAACAATTGCTGGTAGAGCTTGTCATCTATGGATCACATGTTCTGAAAGAAAAAGCTATGGGTTAGTACATTCGTAACCTCCAAAAAATCTTCAATCTACAATAAGTACAAACTCATGTTTATAATGATTGTAAATGAAATTATTAATAATATTCTAAAAACGAAACTTACGTTTGAATGATTTATCTAAGCCTTCTGGCTTCACGTTCGGACTCGAGAAGGGTCAAGAGATCGCCTTCGCGCACTGGGCCCTTAACGTTGCGAATGATCTGTCTGTTTTCCTCTCCCAGGAACTCAACCTTCACCTGTGTACATTGTCCTTGGGACCCGGTACGACCGAGAACTTTGATAACCCTGGCGAGTACAGTTGGTTTTTCCATTGTTTTTTATATATTTTTTAATTTATAAAAAAAACTCGAGAACACGTGTGTATATCAGAGATATATCGTGAAAGAAAGGTTACTCTGCTAAGCCGGCGCTGTGGTTGGACTGCTGGAGTGGCACGAGGCTACTGCGCATGACCGTCACCGTACAAAATATTGTGCATTGACAAACGGCAGGCGGGAAATACAAAGTAAAAATTATTGCATATTTTGATGCTTGCGAGTGTTGTGATAAATCTTTCACAGGAAAATTTATTATTACTTTACACCTTTACAATTAAAGAGTTTGTTAAGAAATACATTACTCTTTAGTAATGCTTCTTTATTCAGATAAAAGATCTCTGTTAACCAAAAGAATTGATTGTTTTAATTTTTGCAAAGTTCTGAAGACAATATGGAAATTGGAAATAAAATTGATGCAATACAAAAGTTTACAATAGTTTTTCAAATGCAATTTTTAATCAACGAAGTAACTTGATTCATTCAACCTTACAAAAGTTCATCATCTAGATTTTTTTGTTGTCCAGTTTCTTTTAGATGTTTATCATACAGTATTCGTATTTCTTTTAATAACTTAGAAACATTTGTTCCAAATTTAGCAGATATCGGAATTATAGGATCGTCTATCTTTTCTTGCAATAATTTCAAATTTTCCTGGAAAATTAATTGTCATTTTCATATGATTAGATTTCTTGTTTTCTTTTGATTGAAACTATTTGATCAAAAAGTTATAACTTACTGCTGCACCAGGTTCATCAATTTTATTTGCTATAATAATCTTTGGTCGACTTAACAAATTTTCATTAAATTGGCTGATTTCATAAAGAAGTATTTCTATATGTGTCCATGGCTCTTTTTGACTAACATCTATAATGAACAGTAAAGCTGCACAACGTTCAGCATGCTTTAGAAAAGTAATACCTAATCCCTTGTTTAGATGAGAATCTGGTATTAGACCAGGTAAATCAGCAACTACAGAAAATAAATATATTAAGTAAAGCATTTTTAAATTTATAAAATGTATTTCATAAATATTAATTACCAGCAATTTGTTCATAATCATCATATTGAATCATACCAATATGAGGTTTAAGAGTAGTAAATGGATATTCAGCCACTTTTGGTCTAGCTCTTGAAACAGCTCTTAATAATGTACTTTTGCCAGCGTTAGGAAGTCCAATCTAATGCATTGTGAAAGTGAAAATTAAAATATTTACGACTCACAAGTATTAGTGTAAGAAAGCTTACCAAACCCACGTGAGCCATACTTCTTATTTCTAAGACATATTGCTTACTTTCTCCAATACCACCGCTTTCTGCAACTTTTGGTGATTGATTAATATCCGATTTAAAAAATGCATTTCCATGTCCTCCTGCACCACCTCTAGCTGCTATATACATCATTCCTTCTTCATCTAAATCCGCTAAAATAGTACCGTTTATATCCCTAACAATAGTCCCTACAGGGACTTTAACAAATGTATGCTCTGCATTTTTGCCAAAACAATCTTTGTTATAACCTTTTTCTCCATGTTCAGCTTCAATAATACTTTGTACATGTGATAAATCTCTAACATTAGATGTAACCTGCAAGCAATGGTTGATCATTTTTAAAAATTTAAATAATTATTCCTAACATAGATTCTCTTACCTCAAAAATAACATGTCCACCATGACCGCCATCTCCACCATCTGGACCTGCACGATCATTGATGAATAATCTGAGGAATGAAATGCATCCATTACCGCCATTTCCAGCTTGAATTCTCACCTTTGACAAAAATTTTATTAATTAAAAGCACAGAAATTTTATGAGGAAATTAAATTATTTTTCATACTTGTTTCATGTCAACAAAATATTGATTTGTGCTTCCCTTTGATCTTGATTTTGTTGATCTTAAAGCTTTAGCTACATTTTCTTCACTTTCATTCATATGACTATAGCTAGTATGAAAAAGTTTACAACAGTAACTGCTGAAAATTTTTTGATTTTTACAGTAAAAATCATTCTGTTTCAAATAAACTGGCTTTTTTGCAGATCTATAAACAGTAGTAAGTAAACGCCAAGCTCTGACAGGATGCATCTGTAAGTGCAAATATAATTTTGATAAATAAGAATAGTTCTAAATGAAAGACTTTAAATAATATAATCGACCTTACAATTTTATAAGGATTTTATCACATTTTTATTTATTATCTAGATACTATCACATTTAAATTATTTTCAATGATACTTCCAATTATTTCATTGTGTATATGGACAACTAATTTTCTGTGCAATGGAAACTTGTTGGATTTATATGTAATTCTATAAGTTTGTGTTTCTTTTAAGTTAGAAAATTTATAAGATCCAATAAATTCAACATCATTAATCAATAAACCTGCAAAATTATACAGTACCAAGTATAATTTTACAGGTTGAAAGTGCGAATCAACAGAAAAAGTTACATCAAACTTATAACAATTTTGGATGAATGATTCATTTATGCAACTTTCGATTTTGGTTTTGAAACAAAGTAATTGTTTAAAAAAATCTTTCCAGTTGACTGTGTCTTCCTGAATCATGCTCAACTCAATTTTCTCTTTGGGAGCTATATTATGAATATTAGGTTCATCAACCAATTTAAAAATGTGGGTAAGTGATCCTTGTGTATTAAATTTTTTTTCTAAACTTCTATAGCCTGTAACTGTGTAAGTTTGAAATATGGAAGAATCAAAAGGTTCAATTCCAACTAAAATAAAGCTGCCATGGGCTGCCATTTCTACAACTTTCCAAGAATCATTCCAATTTCTACAAGGGTTATCAGCCAACGTTCCTCCTTGCCCATTGCACAAACTCATCAAAATCTTTCCATCTTTCGATAAAATTGATTTGACAGACATAAAAAATTTCTTCAAAAGTTCTCTGTTTTTTTCTATTCTCATTTTTCCTCCAACGTGAGGAAAATTAAATACAATGATATCAAAATGTTCTAATTTTAATATGTCATGTTCTTCTAATTTTGTTGCATCAACTTCACAGAAAACTCGGATGCCTGAAAAGAAAACCATAGTTTGAGCTTGAAATTGATTATTTTTACGAATTAAATTTAAAATAATGAATCACATGACAATACTGACCCATGGCTTTCAAAACTTCTATGTTTTTCTTTCCAGTTTCCACAACATTTTTTTCATAGCAAGTTGCAGTAAGATTGATGTTTAAATTGCGGTTTGCTAATGTGACAGCGAATGAAAAATTACCCTCCCCGACAAGCAAGACATTTTTTTGATTTTCAAACAGAGAAAGTTTCATTTTATCTGGAACGATGTGAAACGATTTGAATCAAAATACAATTAAGAGTGTAATAAATGAAAAACATGAGAGCAACAGGTTAGAAACAAAAATATAAATAATACCTTGAATTTGAACAACTGCAGAAGACTAATCAGTGGAGTACTTTATATCTATATACAATTTTAACAATTTGATGAAATAAACTTAACAAATGTTCCATAAACACATTTACACGTGAAAATACCGACAGTACTTGAACAAAACAATACGCTCTAGCAGTCACTTTTTGGAACCACGCGCATGCATGCAGCATCAGCGACATAAGCTGTCTGCAAAATGATAAAAACTTTAAAAAATAAAATGACTTTATGCAATAGTACGACGAAAAATGTCTTTTTTCGCACATTTTTTAGTGCGCAAAAAGCGTTTTTGGACACTTGTGTGCGGTAAAATGTCTCATTTCGACACTGGTGTGCGGTAAAATGCCCCATTTTGGACACGGGTGTGCGGTAAAACGGCTCATTTAAATTAACGTATTTTTCGCCTACTATTGCATAAAATTTTGTATGCAACACGTGCCCAGCTTTTTGCGCACAGTGTGCGGAAAAAACACCCACTCGTGCCGGCATAGCCGGCACTCGTGTCTTTTTCCGCACACTCGTGCCCAAAAACGCCTTTTGGGCACTTGTTACATAAATAACTATATTATTTATTTTTTTTTGATAAACTGAATTTAAGTAATGGGTAGAATGAATTTGGCTTTCTCTTACAATAAAGTTTAAAAAAATTCAAATAAATTAATAAAAAATTTAATTTAAGTATTGTTTTTGTTCATCAAAGTAACTTTTTTAGTAAAAGAGGATTTTGTAAATTTTTTCAACGAATAAAATAAACTTCTTAAACTATTTTAGTTCTTTAATTGAAAAAAATTAATTATAGCCACTTCTTGTTTGAAGATGTCTCAAACTAAACAGACCTATATAACAATTCGTTTATATTACCGTCAGTGAACTGTTAGGGACCGAGGAATGAACAAGCAGAAGAAGTTGCAACTTTCAGGCTTCAGCGCACGTACGACAGCCATTTTAGATCTTCTTTCTCTTTTTAAGTTGGTCCGTAGAGCTCTATGCACGTGTGTTTTTCAAAGGTCAGTGAATTTTGTTAAAATAGATTGTAAATAAACAATGAAACCATTGCAATTGTTCATGAATTTATCAATAAACATTTAGACGTCGAATAGCCATCAGTTTTTACATTTGTTTACCTAAATTTTTGTTATTACAGTTAATCTATCACCATGGGTAGAGTAAGGACAAAGACAGTTAAGAAGGCTGCTCGAGTCATCATCGAGAAATACTATACCAAGTTGACCTTGGACTTCCACACCAATAAAAGGGTCTGCAGTGAAATTGCCATCATCCCCTCTAAGCCCTTGAAGAATAAAATCGCCGGCTTCGTCACGCATTTGATGAAGCGATTGAGGCACTCACAGGTTAGGGGAATCTCAATTAAGTTGCAAGAAGAAGAAAGAGAAAGAAGGGACAACTACGTCCCAGAGATCTCTGCCTTGGAAACAGACATCATCGAAGTTGATGCTGATACCAAGGAGATGATGAAGATGTTGGAGTTCGGCCACATTGGAGCTCTGCAAGTGTCACAGCCTGCTGCACATGGCTTCAGACGTGCTTGAATTCAAGCTTAAAGCTTTTTAATGTAAATATAATGTTACAATAAAATATAACATTGAAAAAGCTACATGAGAAGTCTTAAATCTTTCTTGGTTATCTCCTTCTCATTACCCTTTACTGCTTTTTTGAAAATTGTAGACGATTCAATGTTTCAGTATCAATTGATTACATTCTTTAAAGAAAACAACTAACTTTAACTTCAATGTTCTACTCACTGTACTTGAAAAATTTATTTAGATTTTCATCTCTCATCTATATTATTACTAATTTACCATATTTGTTCTTTAAATCAATGATGCATTTTAATGTTCAAGCCAATGTACAATGAAATCCAAATAGTTCTTACTAGGAAAGCAAAATTAGCATCTTAAATTGCTACTAGGTACATGGAATTTGTTCAAACATGTATTAATGAGTACATGTCAGAGTACACCGGTACACATCCAGAAATGAGCTTTAAAATTTGGGGACTAAGAAAATTATAATTACATGCATAAAGTATTTGGAACTATAACTTTGTTAGAATTATCAAAAAATTGCATTTTATTCATATTAAATGATGAAATTGAAATCTTAAAGTTGTAATATAGCACCAAAAAAATTTAAATGAAATTAATAAGTTTTGGTTACAATTGAAAATGTTGATAAAAAAAGTACAACTTGATTAACATTAAATATCAGCTGATGATGTATTGTTTTATATGAGTAAAAATGAGAAAAAATGATAAAATTTTTTAATTAATAACTGTTACATTTATATATAATCATTTTGTATTGGAATAACAAGTCTATGGAAATTAGATACTGCTATATAATATCACACTTGTTATTATCCAATCAGTAGCAGGCTTATAATTTGAAGAATTATTTTAAATATAATGTATGTTTTTATTCATTACGCTACACCATCGTAACTAAAAAGGCTATAACATTAGTTATTTTTTCAAACATGTATTTTATTTACTGCCTATGAAATAATCATTTCAAAGAAAAAATGTCACTTCATTTGTTGAAAAAATGATAATGATCACTGAAAAATGTCTTTTAAGTTTAAACTTGTCCCTGAAAATCATTCGATGTTTCATTTGATTTCATTTGAATTTTTTCCCTAAAAATGTCTGCTTTATTTCCATAGTCTTGGGCACAATTCTACGTTGTATTCTGTCGTTGGTCATTAAAAAAACTAAGTATCTATTATGCAACAATAAATTTACATCTTGCACAATTCCTGTTTTCTTCTATAGACATATCTCTTCACTCATATCGTACATTTTCTGACATTGCGCATTATGTTAAAACTATATTAAGAATAATTGCATCATTAAAGAAACTTATAATATATATGAAACCATGGCATCATTATGCAAGCATTGTTTCACTTGTGACACTCTGACAATGATTTGGAAGTCTTTATGTATCATCAAAAAACATCAGTATACATGTATATAACGACGCATACGTGCATATAATTATCTTTTCATCGAGTGAAAAAGTCAAGTCATTAAATTTTCAACTAAAACACTTTCTTTGCTCCCAGTTTTCTTTCTTCATTTCAATAAATTTAACAGTTAGACCGGCCTATAATATTGTAAACAATAATCAATCACATTCAGTCTAAAGGGCTTCTACTGCCATAAATTTGTCGACAGAGTTTGACCTGGTAGTGAAGTCGTAGCTGGCTTTGCAGGATTGGTAACCAAATTCATACCTCCCAGCGACATTTGAGACATTTGCTGCGGCAACTGTAATCATTTTATCATTATTATTAAACTGTTGGTGAATCGCGAAAACACCAAATCAAAAGACTGAAATCTTACCTGTCCAAAAGGCTGAGCTGCAGGCTGCTGAGCAGAAAGATTCAAGAACGGATTGCTACCCGGAGCTGGTTGCAAGTTTTGCGTAGCGACCAATGTGCTCCAACCGTTATTACTGTTCATTTGAGGGGCGGAATTGGTCATACTTTGTTGCTGAATTTAGGACAAAAAAAAAGTCGTTGAACGAACCAGATCGATGAACGATAAACACATTATTATTTTTATATTCCGAAAGTACCAACCATCTGCGGCATCGTCATGGGCGAATTGTTCATCATCGGATTGGCCGCGACGGATCCGAACAGGCTCGAGTTCGAGACCATCTGGCTGCCGACGGAGTTCATCTGATGATGCATCCCTCCCATCTGCGACTGCAGATGATGATGTTGATTCGTCGGCTGATTGAAGACGCTCGCGAACTGCTGGGGAAACTGTTGCGCGGCGGGCATCGCGGCCTGATGATTGAACAGGGACGCGCCTGTAAACGGGTTCAAATCTTATTTTTTTACCATTAGTTTTCATCTACTGTTTGGACGGGGGTCGCATGCCGTGCATTAAATAAAAACAATTATAATGATAATTATAAAATTTAGAGGCGTGCGTGGACGTACCGGCGCCCACGGAGGTGGCGTTGGCCGCGGCGGAGACGCCCCCGAAGGGCTGAGCGGGCTGCGCGGCGTAGAGCGCCAGAATACTGTCCTTGGTCATTTTGCTCTTCTCCTGGGGCGTCGGTGCCGTCTGATTGAAGAAGCTCTCCTCCTCGGACTTGGCCGAGTTGTTGGCGTTCTTGGCCTCGGACGAGGTGCCGCCGCTGCTGCTGCCGTTCGTCGCGGCTGGAGCACCGGACGAGGCCGGTGGACCCGACAGGAACGAGGTGAATATGTCGTCGCTCGCCGAGCCGCTGCCGTTCGTGCTCGTTTGATTCTCCGGTGCATCTGTATTTATTTTACATAAAAAAAGAGTTGAAAATAGCGGAATTTCATAATACAATATGAAAATAGTGTATACGAGCTCTCTCTCACCAAGACCAAGAAGATCCAATATCGCAGTGTTGTTGCTACTACTGATTCTGTTGGGCTTTTGGCTGGCGGAACTATGGGGCTTGGGCAGCTGAGGTACCACCTGTGGCTTTTTCACCGGTGGCAGTGTACTCTGACTCGTGATCTTCTGACTGCTCTCCTTCTTTCGTCTGCGCTGCTTCTCCGCCTCCTCGTCCAATTCCTTGTCCCAGTTCACCTGTGTGTGTGTAATCGTTAACGAATTATTAGTTGGACATTCAATCGCACATGTGTATAATATAGGAGAAGCCAATGACTTTACCTTGGGTAATACTGGTGGCACCCACTCGCGGGCTATGTACTTTTTGTGCTCGTATTTAGCTCGAATGAAGTTTTCCAGGCTGCAGTCGGTCTGGGGCCTTCGGAAGCTGTCGGGCAGGTTCGCCTCGTACACGGCCCTCGCGCGAGAGTTTCCCATCTGTTGTAAACTCTGCGAATGAAACGAATGAGCGTGAGATCAATTTTGTCGAATAAAACCGACCGGAGGTCGTATCAATGAAGCAGAAAAAATGCGTCGACGTTAAAAAGACTCGTTGAATCGAGTTTGGACGAGGACGCAAGGAATACTCATTATTTACGTAAAGTCGAGACTCTAGATAGAAAATAAATTCGATCGGAGGCATATATATCGATCGCTCGATTTACGAAGTGAAAATCGCTCCGTCACACTTTGGTATCGCGCGCAGGCGGTTATTTTCAGACGATCCATATATCTTGGAGTTGGAAGAAGCCGTTAAAATACGTGAAAATCTATAATTACCACAACTTGATCCGGAGTCCAGGAGTCCAAATTGACGGACTTGACTTTGCTTATGTGTACGCCAAGATTTCTGTGTATGCCCGCGCATCTGATGCACAGAAATATGCCGAGATTCCAGCTTGCCCATCTTGGACCTGCAGCAACAACAACAAGAAACAACACGTTAAAAAATTTTTCGTCAAAGAGTTACAAGTTCAAATTTGTGTATCGAATTCGTATAGGAGTGTATAAAAGGTGTCCCCGTTATATGAAAGAAAGGCCTTTTTCGAGCTTCGTCAAGAGAGACTTGAAGGATGTCTCTAAAAATAAAACACAAGATCGCGAAAGAAAAGAAAAAAATCGAACGAACGAACAGTTAGGCGAGAGCGTAATGCTCCGGTGACTGCGGCAGAAGCATTATAACTTTCCGTTATCTTTCCGCCCAACGATCGCGCGAGCGCGCACGCCAAAGTCGCTTTTTATAAATTCGAGTTTCTTCGCTGTCGCGATATTTCTTTTCTCTTTTTTTTTTGGCGGGTCAATTCGATCCGCAAAGACCAAAGAGCTGGGTGAATTTTTTCGATGCAAAATTATAGGCAAGACGACGTCTCATCCGCTAATTTTCGATTTCGCATTATTCGAAGGGTGAAAATATCGTTCGTTACCGCGAAGGCTGAGTCGATTTTACGGCTGAATTATTTTCGGAGTTTCGCGCAGCGATGGATCGATACGAGCTTACATCGCGCTTCTTTTTTTACTCGATTCGCGCACGGAAAAACTAACGAACTCCTTTTATTTTACTTTCGCCGCGCCAATATCAATTGGCCAAGGTACACACGGAGCACCGGAAAACCCTCAAGTGAAAAATATCGATTATATATAGCTGTGCTGCTGCGGGCACACTCGAACAGGCAGTTTATATTATGTATGGCAGCAAGTAAAGCAGCGGGGGTCACTTGGCTAGCAGCATCACTCGAAAAGTCCGCGTGTCAACGTTATAATGCACCACCGGGCGCGCACTTATATACGCTCGAGTTGTGTTGATCGATTTGCGATACACGTTATTACCTTCCTTTAACTCTCTCTCTCTCTCTCTCTCTCACGGCGCTTTAAGCTTGTAATTTTTATTGCGCACGCCTATTTTTTTTCTAATTAATTTATTTTTCAGCCTCGCAACGCGTTACGAAGTTCTCTCTCTGCGGCTCTCGGGTTAATGCGTTAGATACACACACACACACGCGTATGCAAATACGTTGCGCCTCTATTGCGGACGGACAAATAGTTTCTCCGCACATAAACCGGCGGTGGCGAGGCTTTTTGCATCACGCTATATATACATATGCACTGCGCGACGTCCAACTCATGAATATTCATCGAGTTTTTATCGCGTAATCCGGCAAATATGCGCACACGATTTTGAGGCTATAAAGTTTTTTTTTTTTGTTAGTTGCAAGAGACGCGGTACGGACATTGATTGGAAATGATTTCTCGATTGGTCGGCTTCGTACGTATAGCATCGAAGAATCTATATAAGCTGTCGTTGAATCGATGCGCGGATTATAATCATTGCATAAAACGCGCGTGTCCAGCTCGATGGACGAGATTCGAACGAAATGAGAATGTAAGACGGTGCAATTGTGAATTCGGCATTGCACGAAGCAAATTGTCGAGCCTGCGCTATTACAGGGCTCTCAGTTCGGTGCAGCACATTTTATATTATAATATATCCTCTCTACTCGTTTGCGCGGGGGGGGGGCTCTTTTGTGCGCGCTACATACCCGCATTCCATGACGTACTGCACGGCATGTGCTAGGCTGCGTGGGTGTGTGTGTGTGCAAGTGTGCAAGTGTGTGAAATGGGTCGTGTGTGCAGCCGGCAGCAGTTGGAGCGACCAATCGATATTATATATGGGAGAGAGATAAGCCAGCCGTAAAACGACTATCCGCCTCTCTCTCTGCTGGATATAGTCGTTCTTTTATATACTGGATACATACTGCTGCACCGCCACGCGATAGATTTACTTTGCAGGTGTTCGCCTCGATATACGTTGTTGTAAGCCGATGCAGCATGCGGTGAAATGGATCGCGAAAAGTTTCGCCCACTTCGTCATATATCAGGGGGAGGAAGCGAGGATCGATTTCGATTTTGAGAGCGAGTAAGAGAGATAAGCCATCCACGCGCGTGCAACTTTACAAAGCAGATCTCCGAGAGAAGGTCGTGTCTGTATTATGCGTGTGTAATACGAATTTATCGCTCGTTGAGTTATATATATTAGGCACTAATTTCGAACAATTTCAAGATTATCCGGCTCTTGCGCCGCGCATTTCTGTATGTGTATACTCCATTGACTCGAGAGAAGCGCAGATAAAAAAGCGCCGAGTTGCGGTTAGCGATCGATGACGTTTTTTACAACGAGGTTTCATACGCGAGTACGTAATAGCTGTTATTTTTTTGGTAGAAAAAGAGGATCCGTATAAATCGTTTCGTCGCGATCGAGCCCCAATGCCTCCGCGTGCGCAAGCTCGCGCTCTCCGTGTCGTCCCATTATATTACGATACATATTTACAGCTCGAATCGCGCTGCAAAGTCATTCTATACGTGCGATATGAAATTCGCGCAAACGGCAGGCGTATGATGTAGTGAAAAAAATAAATAAATAAAAAAAAAAGCGATAATCGAGAGCGATGCGCGATTCCGCGCGATGTGTCATGTGTGCTGTAAACGCGCGGCATTGTGTTTTATTACGTGCGCACGTGTTCGTCTCCTATATAGATATATAACGTGTGCATGTTACGTATTATCCTAATCATCGGTCCCGCTGTTACATCGTCGCAGAAATCCTATTTATATATATACAACGAGTCGACGCGCTGCGCGCAGACACTTCTTCATTTTCGTCGTCGGTGGAGCTTTCGAGACTCGCTAAGCTCTCGATGCACGCGTGCTTTGAAATTTACTCGAGTGAAAAGCGTTTATGCATACGCGACGCGCTTACGTGCGTGCAGTACGACCGGGGGCTCTTATACAATGCGTATACACGCGTTGCAATTTCTTTCGTAGCGTGTGTCGCTGCACGCACTCTCGCTGCAAGCTTTTCTATATCAGAGTCGCGCGCTGAGTAATTGCCGCGCGCGCTCTCGAGGAGCTTTGAGACGATCGCATCGTCGTTGTGGCAGCGCCGCAGCGACGCGACGAGAAAAAGAGAGATAGAGAGCGAAAGCTTTTGTCGTTCTCGATGTTTTTGTTGCTGTTTTTTTTTTTTTTATTCGTATTAGTATATAAACACGTGTGCGGACGAATCGCGAGGCTGCACTTTCATTATATGCATATACTTACTGCTAATACTTGTGCGACCGATGTTTACAAACGAAACGCGAGAGAGAGAGAGAGAGAGAGAGAGAGAGAGAGCTGAATCAGCCATCGACTCGCAACTACAGCACAATTTATTATTTTCAGCGCCTACAATACGTACATTGTGTATTGCATATTAAATACGCGCGAGAATGTTTTTGGTCACTCGAGCTTTTTTCGAGTACTCGAACTTTTTCAATTGAGCTGTGGCGTAATTTATGTTTAATTTTTTTCATTTTTCCGATGTTTATATCGATAAACTTGCTCTCAATATAAGGTACTACAGTAATGAGCTTTCACTTTAAATAATGGCCGTAAGCTTACAAATAATAACATCTGAACTGATCTTTTCCAATTAATTCATTTCGATCATCAAAAAAATATGTAACATCACATTCGCATCGCAAATGACGCTCGGTTGTCGTTTTCACCCTTTGCAAATGATGTGCAGAGGAGTCGATCCGTCCGCATCGGCTTAATTCAGAGCCGCGCGCGCGCCGTTCGACTAAAAACTAGGGCCAGTCGCTCGTGTGTACATAGCCGTTAAATGCCATAACGAGGGGGGGAAATCGTGTATCGAGCGTAGTAGTTGCCACGACGCGACAACAATTACGCTTTCCAATTTAAAAACTTCGACAGTTCGTGCGTGCGTGGGTGTGGTTTAACCTAAGTATAACCCATGTGGATACGCGTATAGCGCGAGAGATAGCGAGAGAGAGAAAGAGAGTTAGAGATAAATAACGCTACAGTGACTCTGTAACTTCGACATTATATATCGACTTTGGTCTCGATGAGGTAATGAATGAATACTTAATCCTAGATCTTTTACTTGAAATAATTGTTTGTTTATTAATGAGAAAATCAAAACTCATATTTTCAAAATTTATTTAAGTTTATTTTGATCAATATTATATAAACAAAAAATTAATGCAGCACACAAACATATTAACACTAGAAGAAATACGCTGTTGACTTCTTTTTTCTCATCAATTTTCTGCCGTTCTTCCTCGCTCACGTTGAATACCTCGTTCACCAATCCGTCAGAATTGTCTCTCTGGCAAATGAGATGCAGAGCCGTCTCTCCGTCCTTGTTCGCCAAATTCTGATTGGCGCCTCGTTTCAGCAGCAGCTTGACCACGCTGTCGTCCGGACAAAAGTCCTTCTTGTTACTTTTGTACAGAGCCAAGTGCAACGCGGCGTCACCCTCGTTGTCCACGGCATCGACGTGCACCTCTTGCTGGACCTCGTCGCAGGTCTCGAAGAATATCTGCGCCAATCTACAATTCGGTGTCTTCGACGCGCAAATAACGTGAAGCGGCGTACGTCCCTTCTTGTTGCTGGCGTTCGGATTCGCGCCTCGCCGCAGCAGTAGTTCGGTCAACACTTTGTTCTTCGACTGCACGGCATAGTGCAACGGCGTGTTACCCTCGGAGTCTTGGATTTCAATTTTGACGGATTTAAGTTCGTTTTTGGCCATTGTTTCGAACGCACCGACACAACGACACGCGATCTCTTATATAAATTCGAAATTAAGCACGGTTCTTTTTCACTCCGATGAAACACGCACAGTCGGTCTTTCTCCGCTCGCGCACCGTGGCGTTATGACGTCAACTTAAATATAAATACGCTACGATCTATATACGAAGAAAGTAGACACGTAGTTAAGAGCAATACTAGCGGTAAAAACTACGTACGACTGTTGAAGTTGGTAATGAGGGAAAATAGTAAAGTCCAGCATGTATACATGGTAGGGCCCAAGTGGCATGATACAGGGGCGTTGCCCCTACTTCGTTGAAATTGGAAAAACCCGAGAGAAAGATCGAGATAGAGAGAGATAGGAAGCTACAGAAACACTGCAATCGTATATAGGCTGCTTCTATAACTTGGATCCGTTCTACGACTGATTTGACGCGACCGTCACGCAGTGGTCCAAAACCATGAAAAAGTCTTTGCGTATATTTTGAGGTATGGGCAAAACCAAAACGACCGAAGTAAAATTATTCTCTTTGATTATAAACAATTACTGCAATTACTTCATCTTGTGCGTTGTAAAGAAGTTTGGTTGGAAAATATGATTCAAAAACTATAAAAACATTGTATAAAAATTGTATATTCATTAAAAAATTTGAAAACTTTTTTCTACTCGACATAGACAGCAAAAAGTTGCAATTAAATATTTAATAATAAGAGCCGAGAAAATAATTGTGGACATAGCTTATTTAATAAGTAATAGTCTCTCAATGATAAGCAGCGAACATTGTTTTTTATGGTTTTTTTTAACTGTAATAAAAAAAAACTTGAGTACCCTACAATTTAAGTACCCAAGTCGATCGAGTCGGGTTTCTAGATTCCTCGCCCATCCTCTACTTATAAAATGCTACCAGTCGAGGAGTAAATAAACGTGTTCACGCATACACTCGACGAAGAGTGAATCCTACCGTCTACCAGCGCGATTAGCCTACACTGAAAAAATTTTGCACTGAATAATAGATGTCTACAGCGTGAATACATCTTATATTCATCAAATGAACAACTATTTATGACACAGTGAACAAAAAACAGTATACTAATATTTTGAAGGGAATCATTTGTCACTGTGACAAGAATTTGGCTTCACGCGTGACGGTATATTGCGATATCGACAATGCACATGTCAGAACCACCGTAAAGCCAACGCTCGAAAGCAATTACCGCTACGCATGGCACTATTTATTAGCTGGCTGGCTATAACATATATGTATACAAAACGGATAAATTAATTTTTTTCCGTGTAAACTTATTAGAAACTGTATCATTTGATACACATATTCATGCTTATGAAGTCATTGAAACAAATCGCCACACTGTTGTTACTAGGCATAACTGATAAGCGATATTTTTGTTACCTTTGTAAATAATATTGATAAGTACAATAAATCACGACTATTTTACTGCAATATTTTATAAATCTTTTTTTTTTAAATAACAAAGTTTTTACAATATTTTCGAATATTATAAAGAAAATAGGCTCGTTTATGTAAGATTTTATTTAAATATAGTCCAATCGTCTAATCGACAACAAAAAGTGCTTGATAATCGCGTTCACCGTGAACCTAAATTCATGTCACCGTAGCCGTGAACTTTCTTCAAGTTAACTGTTGAATATAAAGTTAAGACACTATAGTGTGATATCAATAAAAGACCACAGGTGAACACGAATTCAGTGCAAAATTTTTTCAGTGTATACGAAATGTATTCGACCGTGCCAACGAAAACTGCCACTTTTGCACCAGCAGCCAGGACAACCGGAGTAACAAGTGCTTCTTGGTACTGAACGGTACCTATAATATGTGCACTTTTAAAAGCTGTACTTTCATTTCATCCCAAAAGCTCGGATACATTCGTTTTCGTCCGAATGTTTTTGTTGGCAGACAAATATCGAGTTATAATTTTTGCGCGCAGTAGTGTTCGTATGATTTTTTTGCCAACACGTTGGTTGAAAATATTTGAAATAAAAAAATAAATAAAAGCAATTCCTGATGCTACATTTCGTTGCGATATACATACACGACGAGCACATATTATTGAATAACCATATAATGTAACGTCGAATGGGCATATCGAGAGCGAGACTATGCGCACGCGGACAGTGAAAGTTTTGTGTATTTTGCTACTCCACACGCATTAAATGTAATCTCAGGTGCACACGTTATTATTCGTAGATATATATTAATGCGCCGATGTGATATGAGCCAGGTATATAATATATTGTGATACGCAACGCGTTACCTGCGCCGCCATGTGCATCCGCGTCTAATACATAATAATCATGTTACACATTTCAAATGCCGCGCGGCTAATGATGTGTGTCAAGTCCATCGCGACGACTATATACGCGCCGAGTTGTATATATAGCCAAGCAGCAAACTAATATCTGCTCTATTACATACGCAAAGCGATAAACGAGAGCTCCGTGACTTTTCTTATGATATACGTACAATAGGCAGACGGACGCACATCGCGTTGATATTATTATGTACACACTTTTATCGTTGTGTGCACGTGAGGTGGGCCACATGTATTACAGCGCGTGTGGCGTCCGAGAGAGCTGTCCCGCAAACTTTGGTTCATTTTATTTTTTTATTTTTTTTTTTACTTTTTTTTAATCTCTCATCGGGGGAGAGTACATGCGGAAATTCCAAGGACGGTGCGTGCCGAGAGACGAGCGCGGAGACAGCGATGACTTTTCGGAGCCACGGAGAGAAGCTGCTGCTGCTACTGTCTGTGTTGTGTGCCAGAGATTTTGACAAAAAAAAAAAAAAAAACTGGTTTCTGAGCTATGCGCCATGCTCAGAAGAGATCTCTCGACGCGCGCGAATCAGTTATAACCGAGCAAGCGCGAGACACGTTCGATGCTAAATTCGTTGATTGTACTTTTCGTGATCCGAGACGAAATAAGCCCTGGACATACGAATCGGACGATGTATATGTTTGCGTGTACGCATACCATTCAGGCTTGACGGAGGATAATATGGATAGGTATAATGCCGCAAAAAAAGATCGCGGTGGTGTTAGATTTATACAAGAATGTAAGATCCAACGTAGGTATAATTACAGAAAAAGGCTAGGAGCGGGTCGATTTTTCATTTATGTACACTCTGCGGTGCACACACGCATTATAGACAGTATATACAAGTATATAAGAATGTATATAAGTATCAGCGAGCCTCCTCGCGCACCGGCAGGTATATAGCCGCGAGGCAAATAGCAGCCATCCTTTCATACATACATACATACATACAATATCGTGCATACACTTGGCGCGATATAGACTTGGCAAGACTACTTGCTGTATGTAAGCATATGCAATATATGTGTGTGTGAGCTGCGGCAAACAAAAAGTTGCAACTTGTATCATCGCGCGGTGTGTATAATATACAGCAAGTGTCGCATACATACACGAGTAAAGGGACACGAGTAGAGGGACGTGCTTTCATGGCGTTTATATCATTGTAACTACTTTTATTTTTTTTTTTTTGCTTTATTGCCTCTTTCGCTCTCGTAGATGACGTGGTGTATACGCGATCCAATTGTCATCGACACGCACAGCAGCAGCAGCGACGACGAGTACAAAGGAAAAAACGCGTGCCGCGGCGCGATATATAGTGTAGTATACCTTATATACCATGCTATGTTGCTGCTTCTTTGGACCCTACCTGTACACTCGGACGAGGCACACACGCATATATATATAGTAGCATCGTGTGCACGGAACTTGTATATATATATGTTTCGAACCTCGCTGGTATGTGTCTGCCATGAGTGCTGTTATATATATATACAGCATATATAAGTATCGAGGGAGAGAGAGAGTGAGGCCGAGAGAGCCGACTCCGAATCGCATACTCCGTGCGTTATACGTATGTGTACTTTATGAAAGACTGAGTCAGAGAGATTGTGTATGTGTGTGTGTGTGGATAATTAAGCCCGTGCTTAAGCGAGTCGCCGTTACCTTTTGCATCGCAGTCGACGCAGTATTTGTTGTCCTCGTCGCGCAACATCTGCGTGAGCAGCGCCTGGCACTTGTCCTGTATCTGTTTGGCACGCTCCTTTTCCGAGCGCGACATGTTTGCTACCCGTTGAGTCTTCTCTCACTTTATATATTCGATATTATATTTATTATAAAATGCACGTAGGTAGCCGCTCGCGGGGATACCTCTGCGCCTGCAAACACACACACACACACCGAGAGGGATGAAATCTATGACTCTTCTTTCGCGAAACGATACAGAGACTGACACGCGCACGCACACACACCGAATTCCAAACTAATGTATAAGAACTGTGCACTGCCTGCTGCTGCTGCTGCCTCGTGTGTTACTACTGCTGCTGCTGCTACTGCTGCTTCGTCCACTGGTTCGCGCGACTGAGTGTGTGTGTGTGTGTAAGTGTGCAGCAGCGCGTATTATTATTATAGGTTGCTCCGATTTGGCGACGATAGCAAAAGTTGGCGTGCGTGTATGCGCGAATTTCACATATACATATAACAGTTAGCAGTGAAACGAGCGAGAAAGAGACGGCGGTGCGATCAGCAGGAGGAATCGAGGCAACTTCACTCGTTCGCTGTCGAGTCTCCGAGCGCCGTATTATAGTTGCCGCTGCCGCCAACGCGACGTACTACCACTACTTCATGGGCATACACACAACACACAAACGGCCAGCGAGAGATATGATACGACCACACGACTTGTATATAAAACACAGTCCGAAACAGAGAGAGAGAGAGAGAGAGAGATGGTCGCGATCGAGCTGCTACTATAATACAATACGATGTATATATAGGCGACGTGCGGAGTCGATCGCGCTACGTCGACGACTGCAGCTTTATAACCGCGCAGCACAGAGACTGACTCGCTGCTGCTGCTGCTGCTGCTGCTGCTGCACAATGTAGGATAGGATATATAAAAATGTGCAGTGCATCGGTGCGCAGAGTCATCATCGCAGACACGTTCGCGGCTCTTTGCAGTGCGCCTTGTGTAGCTGCACTTGAACCAGGCGCTGCACTCGAGGCTCTCGTATATATATAGCTTAGCGAGACTCCGACTTTATGTATACCCTCTATAATGGAGAGCTTTATCGACGGGGGTAGGTCGCGCGCGCGCGCCGACGAGTGCAGCTGTACTCGCGCTACCATACGTAATATGTATGTATAACTGCTGGCGAGGGTGGAAATTTCTCATTTCCTTTCTTTTTTTCTTCGCTGCCGAGATACGCATGTGATACAGCAGCAACGCGAGCTGAACGTATACGGTTGTGTCGTTGCTATGACGATGTGTTTGGCGGAGTATACGGGGAGGAAGGAGCTTTTTGACGTCGATTCAGAAAAGCTCTCGTATTCGAGCGTTACGCGCTGTTTGACCCGATGATCGCTCGAGCTGTTTGGGTTGCGCAAGCTGCTCGGTTCTTCCCTTGCGTTCGTCATTGATATCCTTACTTTTTCTTCGTTACTTATTTTTCGCTCGTATTCAAATCATGGAATTTACTGATACCGCATCGCGTTGCCCACCACCGACGTATACATGGTCGCATGGTCGCTCCATTTGCACTGGGTCACTGTAAACGATCCGACGTATGTCTTTGCACAGCCGTAGACAATTCATTGGAAACTACGATACACGTTTGATGAATGAATTCTTAATTATACTGGAAAAACGCAGTTAACGACGATTCGTTGATCGAGAAATTTTGCGATCGGAAAAAAATTTTAAATTGCGGATAAAATCTATCGTTTCATGAATTCGAAAATCACGCTTGTCATTCATCGACTCGTGATGTGCAACTCTCTGGCTAAAGATCGAAGTGAATATTAAATTATTATAGGATAAATTTACGAAACAAAATGATTTATCTCGTCTCCCTTTAATCTTTCAAATGTAAGCCTACTTTTTTAAAATAAGCCAAGATTCTAATTGCTTATATCCGGTTTTTATTTATCTCGCTCGAGGGGACTCGCATATACATATAATAAGCGATCGTACACGATCGTCTCCGTCGGCGAACGAGCGCACGAGTTACAAAAAATACGAGTTACGAACGAGCACTGAAAATTGCATTTAGTACAACAACCCTCGACACATGCTTGCATAGGTATATAGTTGACACGGGATGGTAAAAAACAATAACATCGAGTAGTGCGTGCGCACATTTCGCTGAACGCCATGGCTCATCTTCATCACACACTACAAGTAGTATTAGCTTTTATCGTAGAACAAAAACCACTTCTCCCACCCTGTCGCCCCCGCCGCGACCATTAAATGGTGATATCTGCAGGGTATTCGTATACATATCGCGTCGATTCCGTGAAATCGCGCGCCCGAATTGCCCGCGCGATGTCAATCGCCGCGCAGCCATGCTCGTGCGCCAACTACGCGCAGCGACCTCATGTGTACAGTGCGGACGAAGTCTACATCAGCGCACTCGGCGCGTTATGTTACGTGTGCCGTCTGTTTACCTATGTCAGCCACGGCGTCGTATCTATGTTCCACAAGGCGCGTTCGAAATGCGCAAGCGTTTCACGCACGCACACACACAAGTCGACAACGAGAAGCGCAGCGCAACTTACACTACTATACGCACACACTGACTGAGAGCCAAGTATGTGCTACAGCTTGTATGATGCTCTCATAGAGTGGCTCACCAGTCGGCAGCCCAGCAGCAGCAGCAGCAGCAGGCAGTCCAGCAAAATATATATATAGGAGAGGCGACGTGCATCCTCCCCGACGCGACATCCTCCGACTGCACCTCTAGGCCGAGGAGTCCTAGAGCAGCTGCAGCAGCCCGTCTAGCCGTCGAAGAGACAACAGCAGCAGCAGCCAGTTATCTCGATACGACTCTGTGATACCACTAAAAAAAAAAAAAAACTCGGTGCGGTTGCCCGTCTGTCTGTGCGTACTCGTGGAAAAAAGTGTTGTGTCAAGTTCTAGACGACGCGCTGTGCTCTTCCGAAATCTTCCTCTCTCGTGCATTCGAACGACCGAATGATCAACCAGTGAAAACATTATACACACTACGAGTGTGCCGTGATTATCGTCACCTTACTGTGCGTTAAGCACCACAACAAATCCACGCGTCCGCGAGTGTTTTTTCTGTGTTGTTGTATACGCGTGCTTCGAATCCAAGCATCATAGTCGTCGTCGTCGCAATTACGAGACGGTGCAGCATTTATTATTGAAGCCTCCCGAGCAGCATCGGACGAGCTTCGTGTTCGGTCGACGACGTTTCAAATTCATTGCCATTGAGAATCACTGTGTTGCTCTTCTCGGCGTTAACCTAGCTACCTTCTTTATCAAGATTGGCAAAGTAAATATTGCGGGGCACGCGCGTCGCTCTCCGTACAGTTTTCTGCCTCTCTCTCTCTCTCTTCTGTGTGTGTGCGTGAACACTCGTACCAATACTCATACACGCTCGACAGCAGCAGCAGCAATAACGCGTCCGGCTACAGCCGACTCTTCCGCACGCTTTTCATGACTGAAAGTCGCTGAATACCCTCCTCGCGTCGAGAGGCTGTGGACCGGCCGACGATGTCTCGTTGTTGAGGCCTGCAGTGCAGCACCAGGAAGACTCCGCTACACATACTGATTCATCAACCGAAGCCGTGTTTCGCGCGTTCGAACGTGCGTGTGTGTGTGCGTGTGCTTGTGTAAATACAGAAGAATAATATCGTACGGTGCATCAGCGTGTTGGCGTCTCCTCGCGTATTTTTTTCCGCCGAGAAAAATATGCCACCGAGCGGGCCCTGCCGAGAACATTTGTGTATTCTCAGAGACTCCTATCTTGCTCATCACTCGAGACTATTTCTAACTTGAGCCTCGTTGTACATGTATACGCTCCCGTGTAATATGTAAATTATCTCCTTATCGTACCGATCTAAGCGTACCAAGAGCTGTATATATATATATATAAAGAAAAGTTATATACTTGTACATTTTTACCTTATACATAGTAATTTATACGTTATAAATATTAAGTATCGAGCGTGATAAAGAGTTAGACTCGGTTCGTTCTTTTTTATCGTATACACATAACTGACATTCTACGCTCCGTGTGCGGTGTAGAGCTCGGCGTTCGATTTGTAAATCGTTGAATAATAATAAATAAGTGAGAGCCCGACGAAAACATGAGTTCCGCGAACAGTGCCAACAATGCCAGCAAGGAGGCGGCATCGTCCGAGAAGCCCCAAGAGACTGGCGGCAACGTGCAAACGATAGCCCAGAACTTGACTGCCATGACCGTGCACAGTCTCCAGAGCGTCCAGGGTACCGTCTCGGCTGGTGGCATCGTCGGCAAGACCCTCTCGCTGGATCTCAACAATTCCAAGCTGCTCATGAAGCCCGCGAATAACGTCGTCGGCTCGAGCTCCGACTCAAAAATCACGAGCACGGTAAGTAATGATGCACTACACGTGCCTGAATGTATCTCAAAAAAACTTTCGAAATCCATTCTTTATCTTTTCCCTCCCCTCTCGTCGTAGCTTCGGATTCCTTCTATTTCTTGAATGACTATTATTATAGTTTGAAACTTGCTACGCTCGCGCTCATTCCTTCTTTCTCTATCTCTCTCTCTCTCGCTTTCTCTCGTGCAAGCATGCGGTGTTCTGCTCGAAGTCGTAATGCGCCTGCTCCTATGATTTAAAAAAGTAAACAATTACTTTCGAAATGCCGTCATTCGAATTATCTGAAATAAATTGTATCTTAGATTTATTTGAAAAATCGTTTTTTTATCTACAGTTTTGGGTTGTGGTCTTTCATTAAAATACAACTTTTTTAAATGTTTTTAAATATATTACTCTTTATTAATTATTCTTTAAATTTTTTACTTTTGCAACAATCTTTCAAATCATGTATTAGTTAAGAGAAACTTTTCAATTATAACTATAAAGATATTAATTATAAAAATGTTCATTATTTGATACATTTTTTTATTACTTCTAGTTTTGTCCAGTGCCTGGTCAAACAGTTAGAATTATAGCACCTACTATGATAAACGTGGAGCGACAAGCTCAAACTCAACTGCAGCAAGGTGGTCAAACGACTCAACAAATTGTCACTAGTATTCCATCAACTTTTCATGTTCCTCGAGGACCAGCAGCAGTAGCAAACATATCTACACCCAGAGCCACTGTTGCGACACCTCTAAGGACTTTGTCGCAACCAATATCAATCAGTAGACCTGGGTAAGTAAAAATACTTTATCATTGATCAAATGTAACTCATTAAAACAACGCGCCAAGATAAGGCCAGCCCAAAAATAAAATTTGTAATCCAGTTTTCAGTATCTACTACTGAATATATTTCCATAAAAATAAAGGTCACTGAAAAGATTTGAATCGTCTCAAATATGGTTTTTAACAAACAATAAAAAGATACAAAATATTCATTTTGAAGAGCCAATTATAATTAAAATTGAATTGACATCACAGTGTAATTTTTACTTATTTTCATAACTAAATTTAAATTTATATCAAACAAAATTATTTATTTAGTTTTTTTATTTACACTAAAATCTATGCATGCTCACTTGCGTGCTTCTAGTACAGTGAAATTGACTCCATTCCAAGGATACCCAGCACGTATTTCTGCAGTTGATTTTAGTAAACCGAAGATTGTTAACGTAGATCGGTAACTAGTCAATTATTTTATTTTTTATTTTTATTTGTTAAAGAGGTAAAAAAATCATGAATGACCATTTCAAGTACTACAATTCCATCAATTTGTCTGTACTTGGTTATGAATGAGAAAAAATTGTCCTAAAAAGTATATGGTATTCTTGATAAATTAAATATGTGTATAAAAATGATTAATTTTTTCTATAGAAGCTTGTATTATCTTTCTTTTTTTTATCAAAATTTTGAATTCGAAATTGGCTGTATAATTGTATTTTATTTGATTTATCAAGGATAAATGTGGCTGGTGTTGTACAAAAATATGATAAAAAAATATTGCACTGATTGACTTTTAATATTTTTCATTCCTTATATACTGTAAAACTACTGGAATCTACAAATATTCAAATTTAATCTTATGCAATCTTCAAGTGTAATATCTTAGCATTAAAATAATGTTTGCTTTAGGACAAATACAACGGTTTCAAATACAGTTCAGTGGCAGCCCAAGGGTTCTGTTGTATATGCAGCACCTCAAAGAACGGATACCGGACCACGACATACAGTTCCTGTAGTCAGTCGTCAAGGCACGCGTCCAGCTGTTTTCACTGCAATTGCTCAGCAAACGTCCCAGCCACAAGCACAATCTATGACCCCTCAGATTCAAACCCAACCTACTCCATCTCAACCGCGCTTGATAAATCAAACTCAAGTGTCTATGGGTGGGCCAATTCAAAGAACTGTTGTTACTAGTATACCAACAAAATTAGTGACACCAGTGTTGCAACCAACAAGATTACCAACACCTCCTACTAGACCGCCGACTCCACAAGTTATAACAAATGTATCTGCTCCAACCAGAAATATTCAGGTAAAAATATATATTACATTCTGAAAATTCATAAATTCCCTCATGGGAGTTTGTTCAATTTGCCCCCAAGCATGCACAATAAATTAATAAAATTAATGCAATGAAGCAAGGTTAAAGTACGTTTATTTACTAAAGTTTAATAATGAAAGATAACTATTAGCGATAAATATTCTTTGAAAGTTTATTCGCGATTGACACAAGTTCGTACTATTTTTCACGTGGCGTACTTACCCTTCATTATTTCTAGATAATGCCTTAAAATAAAAACTTGATAATAGTTTTAAAGAACCTCGGGTGTTTACTAAAAAATGCATTTAATTCCAGACAAACCAAGTAGGACGAACAGCAGGTGGCTCCACCATTAACCGTATAGCGGTGGCAACTTCGGTCATCGGCGCTCCAAACCGCGTGGTCGTTACCACAGTTCAAACCAACGTGCCGAGACAGTTAACCATAAACACTGCGCCAGGCACCACCAGCTCAGTCAGTCGAATCTTCGTGCCACAAGCATCACAACAGACACAGCAGCAACCACAATCTCAACAACAAAGTACACAACATCAGCAGCAGCAACAACTGCAGCAGCAGCAACAACAACAGCAGCAACAACAACAACAGCAACAACAGCAACAACAACAACAGCAGCAGCAGCAGCAACAACAACAGCAACAGCAGCAACAACAACAACATCAACCACCACCCCAACAACAAGGTGGCACCAGAATCGTTCAAGCAGTGGCACCGTTGGCTAACTTTAGCCAAGTATCGCGAGTCATTGCCACGACATCAACGAGCGTGGGCGCACCGGGAAATGTCACGCGCGTAGCTCAGACGGGACCTGCCTCGGTCGCACGCATCACCGGCATGTCGCTGCACCAGATGCCGCTCGCGCCCACGCGCACCCCGCTCAAAGTCACGACCCAGGGAGGCACACAGACTCTGCAAACCGTCCAATTGAAAACGGCGAACGTGGCGATGCAGCCGCAGACCCAAGTGCAAGTCCAGGTATCGCAGCAGTCGCAACCGCAACAGCAGCATCAATCGGCCATGGGTTCGAGGTCCATGGGTGGTAGTTCCGGTGTCGTTGTCACGACGGTCGCGCAAACCGGTCAACAACAACAATCGGGACAAACGCAATACGTGCAATCTTCACCGCATCCGACCACCTATTTCTCTATCGAACCCTCAGGTACGATACCCTCAGGTACCTTATTATTTCTATTGTTATTTCTATTGTTTCAGCAAATTTGTTTATTTTACGGACGAACTTTTATCAACTTATAGGAGCGTACTCGCCGTATCGTCAATCATCCGTACAGCCCGTGAGATTAGTCGTAGATCAAGGTTACGAAGAACCACTCACAAAGACAAATGCATCACCGAGGCCCAGCATACTTAGGAAGCGAGATATCGACACGAGTTTGGCGCCGAAAGGTAATTGGATCGTATGATTATAATTTGCTTGCGATTTAATGCAACAGCAGATGTAAATATATATCTATTCTTTATTTCAACCTCTTATAGGAGCAGCGAAAAATCTAGTTCCAGTTTTGGCGTCTCTTCCATCCGCGTCGAATGCACCGAGCCCGCCTTCCTCGCCGAAGTGCGATCGCGATAATGGAAATCAGAGTACGGGGTCTACTACTGAATCTGCCACGTCGTCACCTGGTCCAGACGATGAGCCCGAAAGGTCGCGTATCATCATCAATCCTCAAGTGGAAATGTCGCCCAGGAAGAAACCGCGTAAACAACAATTAGCCGGCGTCGAATTGACGGAATCGCGCTGTCACGTTGAAGATATGCAGTTTATTACCGAAGAAAAAATTCACAGGAAAGAAGTCAAAGAGGAACCTAGAGAGAAACAAGCGGAGAAACGCTCAAACTCTCATTTAGACTCGAAGACGCCACAGACGCCGACGAGTAAACCAAAATATACTCGGATAAGTATGCTAGGTAAGTTTCGTAACTCTAATATTTCATTCATCTTTTCGGTAAAATATAAACTGTTATATTTTAAAAATCTTTTTTTTAGAGGGTGTAGCCTGGAAGGATAAGTGGGGAAAACGATTTAATCATTTCAAACGTCATAGCGATGTGCGAGCAAAAGAGGAGAAAAAACCTACGGTTTCTGATATAGCTCAACAAAAACAGGTTTTACAAAGAGTTCACGGTTGGAAACTGTATCACTTGAAAACCCAAATGGAAGAAATGGCCGAAGTAGAAAAATCGGTACGTATTTTGCTTACCACAACGACACAGTACCATATTTCGTTCGATTTTTCAATAACTCGATACTTTTAAATTATAGGTTTTTGATAAATTGAAAGCTACTTTGGCGGTATTAGAATCTCAACAGACGAAAGGGAAAAAAGACGATGGCTTAGAAAAAGCCATGGAGCTAATTAAAGGAAATACACAAAGAAGTAATTTAATAAACGAAGGCCTGTCTGATGCCCGCAAACAACTTACTACCATACTTGGACATAAGGATAACGTAGCAGAATTATTACAAAGATGTGGCAATAAAAGGCCACAGAAAAAAAGAGATAATAAATAAATGTGAGAAATCAAATTTAATGTAAGAGAGTTTATTAAATGTGCGTGTTCATCGAGAATGTTATTTTTATTAAAAATTATATAAGAACTAAAATAAAAAATTCTGAAACTTGAAAGACTGATTAAATGTTAATTCACTTTGACCCTATAAAAATGTGATTTAATTTACTTAACGATACGAGGGAAATATTTGTAACTGTCTTGTAATCATAAGCATGACAAACTTAATTACCATTAAATACACGAGTTTTTTTTATAAAAATTTATTTCAAGAATTTTTCTATAAAATTATGTGCATATAGCTCCTTTGAATATCTTCGATCGTTTAATTTTTAGAAAAAATTAGCATCTATGTCAAAGCAAAAGCTCTGCATCTGGACAATTTTTTTATATCTCTTGGAAATGTTTCATCTGAAAAACTTGATGACATTTTGTCAATTGACACTTTTTAATCTTCATTCAACTGTGCCTAATTAATGAAACTGATGTATCAAGTTTTTCGACATAAAATTACAAAAATGTTAACATCTCCTTTGACTCGAAATCTTAGAATTATTAACACTTTAAAAATCCATCTCGCAATTCACTTTCCTTACATTTTTAGAATAGACGGTGAAGCTCTTATCGTGAAATGAAATAAATAACTACCAATTGGTTATAATACAAAGTCATTTGACTCTTATATAAAATGTTCGGTGGGGAAGCGAATGTTTCGCAGTATATTCGCAATCTTTGAATTTACAATATGTAATATTTGCGATAGAAAATATAAAGTATTACGAAAAGGTGACGTTATTTATAGATAATTTTTTATTTTCTACTTTGAAGTTTATTCGCACATCGCCTGTTTGGTCCCTGAACCCAATACTCTTAGTAATTTAAGCGTATACAAAATACTTTGATCGACATTTGGACTCTTGAACGACTAATCCAGCGATTCGCATTATCTCTCCGCAGAATTAGGATATGAAAAAAATAGTCATATACGGACGATTCCCCTCGATATACGACAAGTAACACATCGATAAATTAAAAGGTTGCGCCTATCATTTATAATCGAAGCAATCGAATATTTAGCACAAAAATTCCATTGCTTCGAATACAGAAGGTTCAGGGAAAATTGGTGCTGTGTGCGTTTATTGACGTTCCGTGTGCTGTATCGTGTGCTTTTGAATTAAAAAAAAAAAAAAATACTCGATAATCTTGGATTCGATCAAGATTTATCTATCCATTTGCATCATTCATCATGAACTCACTTTTCTCTCTTACTTTCGCTCTTGTCCACAGCTAATTGCATTCGTGCGCGCGCGCGTGTTGGCGAAATTTTCGTCGAAAAATTGCATTTGTACAAAATATACAGACTCGAATCATCTGCGTTAGATCGTGAGCTTTTTTCTCCCGCAGTCTCGGGATTATTAACGAAGCACTCAAGCCTCTGAGATTCGAAGAATATCGTGTTTATAATAATTATTCATCGTTAGCCTAAATGTAATCCAGTTGTACAATAGGTGCACAAAATACACGAATACAATGTAAAGCTCGATTGCGACTCTTCGCAGCTGTCGTTTATTATACATAAAAAAATAGACGTATCGGGAAAAATGGCTTTGCGCGTCTCAAGATCGCTTCTGGGCCCACTTCATGTCGTCGGCGCGGGGCCTGCAGCCCGTCAGCCTCTCGATGCAGCACTCGAGCAGATACCAGAACTGCAGCTTCTCCAGGGGCCAGTTCAGCCAGCCCGTGGTGATGCAGAAGTAGGTCTCGTGTGGCGCCACGTGGTGCACCCGATGATGCCGCCTCGGCAGTATGACCCGGTGCTCCTGCAGCCAGACGACGTACCAGGGCAGGCCGAAGTACGTGTGCGACCACTTGTGGATCTGATGAATAAAAATGAGTAAATCGATTACTGCTGCATATAAGATAAGAGATCGAGATGCATTACCTGATTGGTCATGGCCACGAATATGGCGAGCTCGTACCAGAAGCAGATCCAGAAGAATCGTCGCTGTATGTCGGCCTCGGGCAGGCTGATGAAGTCCCAGGTGAGCTTGCAGAGCACCGGTATGGTGACGGCGAACGTGTCGCCGTTCGTCTCGACGAAGTCGTGCCGCGTTATGCTCGTCGGGTCGATGTGGTGCTCGCGGAACGGCCTCAGGAAGTTCTGAAGTACAACGTAATTAATATTATCTCATACATCCCTGAAGGAAATTAATAAAATTTTATAAACTTCTAGTAACTAATAAAAGTTATAAACTTAACTTAAATTACAATAAAAATTATTTCATGTTTAAAAGAAGTAATAAAAATTTATAGATCATTCTATTTAGCAATTTCAAATTCTGAAAAAAATTAAAATGAGCTTTTGAACTAGACATTGTACGATGTATAGATACTTTGGTTTTCATATTCGTTAACTACATAGAATTCTCAACAAATGTCTGTATGTGCCATGTGTGTGTGTCATTAAATTTGTTGGTAGGAAACCATTATAACTTTCAAACGGAGAAAAATATATAGATGAGGTTGGGCTTATTTTGCTGAATATGTTTGCCGAAAGAAGCGTCAAACAATTGTTTAAGAATTCATCAATGTTATGAAATTGTATCAAATTTTGCAAATTTTAAATTTTTCGTTGATTCAAAACTTAAAAGATGACGAAGAAGAGTTACTAGAAGTTAATGAAAGGTTTTAAAAGTTTATAACGCTTTATAGAAAAAGATAACGTATTACCTTGCCGATGATGGGCAGCTCGACGGAGCCCCAAGTGTCGGCGGTCCAGTGTGCCAGGCCGGAAACGAAGTCGGCCGTGACCACGCCGCAGAAGGCCGCGAGCAGTATCGTGCTGAGATTGTCGAGCTTGACTCGCAGCAGTATGAAGAGCAAGTCGCAGGACATGAGGGCGCAGCAGACGCCGAGGCAGATGACCTCCTGTATCCTCTTGCCGCGGCTGTAGAGGCCGGCGAGCTCTTGGGCGCCCCTGTGATTCGGGCCCCATCTGGGCTGCTGCTGCTGCTCCTCGTTTTTAACGGCTGGACACTGGGAATTGGCATTGGGATCGTCCTCGAGCATCGAGTTCTCGTAGATCTGGCGCTCGGTCTTGACCGGTGCGAGAAAATTGGTGGCGAGATTGCAGGCGGCGTGAGCGGCTTGGCCCAGCTGCTGCGGCACGGGCGAGCTCGTACCCGCCTGGCCCAGGTGCGGTATCGCCGTCGAGTCCATTCCGTTATATATCGATTATATTGTGCGTATTACGCCTCGATCGCACTGCTCTGCGCAAGCATCAAGAAGCGCGTCAAGTTGCTCGTCGTCGGCTCGATCCGAGCCGAGTAGTAGTCGTCGGCGTCCGTCTCGAGCAGCAGCAGTAGCAGGCCTCGCGTCAGGAGCGCCGCGGCAGGGCCCAACTTCTGCAGCATCGTCTCTTGGAACAGATCGTGCAGGATCCTCTTCACCACAGTTGACTCGAACATGCGGACGCGTTTATTATTATTATTCTCGTCGATGGAGCAGCTGCTGCAGAGTCGAGTCGAGTCGAGTCGCGCGAAGAATAAACAACTAGCTTATCTGAAAATTAATAACGCAATAACGCGTGTACGTAATATGCAACGTGTAAGCATAATCGTTATACTCTGGATTCTGTGATACTGTGCCATATAGGATCCCGGTATTAATGTATATGCGTAATTTGAAAGACCGGTAAAAACCAGAAAAATGCCCGCCCGCACTCGATCTCCATCTTTATCAAATGCAGTTCGCAGCTGGGATGATAGCATGTAAAATTGGCCCGAATAATTTAGCCAGCTCCGATTGTAAATTCGATCGGAGAGCGAATCGAAGCGAAACAATCGAATAAAGCTCGCGCGGTTGCGAGGGCGCGAACAACTCCTATATAACTATGCGTTGAAACGTTTCGCGCCGATTGATTTATCTCGTATTTGCATGGCACAAATTGCCGTACGCGCAGCTGTATAATGCCTATAATATAATGTATGTACGCGGCGATCGCGAGGGAAACGCGAGAAGAGTACACCTGTACACGCCAGATAGAGAGCTCCTCTAAATATAAACATAAGCTCGAGAGTTGGGCGCGCGCATTGAAGATTCTCGCGTATACAGAGACTCGTGCGATATATATGTCAGATCGCAGACGCGGAGCGCGACTTCTCGCGACGAGGAATTTCGCGAGCGCGATATAGAATTATAGACCCGCGCGCAGCTTTGCCTATATTTTGAATCCGATGAAAGGAAAAAAAAATTAAAGGAGACGTACATTCGTGTGCACGTGTCAAACTATATAGTTGCGGTCGATGTCTATAGACGCGCGCGAGAATGGACACGAATGTACAGCTTATAGGCGAGGCGCGTCTCTAGATGGCGAATTTATAAGCGAATACTCGAGAGCGAATAATAATTTATACTTGGCTCGAGTGCGGGCTCTATCTATCTACCTCACTCTCTTCGCAGGTGTGCTTACACGTTATAAAGTCACGGCTCGACTTCCTCTTTTTATCTAGCAAAAACAAAAAACGTAAGGAATCGAAAGCTCGGGTTTGTACATAGCGACGAAGCACGCATAATATGGTTTATACAGCGTTCGATGCGACGTGTGTATAGGCGATCGTATACACTGATGAATAATAAGCACATAATACGAGAGCCCGCGAGTAATGTGATGCAATGCCCATTACTCGCAGTCGTATATCGATCAACGATGCATGGAAAAAAAGAAAAAAGAAAACAGTTTGAGCGTTCGCCGCGCTACCGGCTTTTGTTCACCTCGAAAAGCTCGCGCGAGTATCAACAACGGTCGATTACGACACACTATATGGACGAAGTGGCTCGCGATGCATTATAGCGCCTCGCGTATCGCGAATGTCACTTATATGTAGAGACTTTTGTTTGAAGAAATAAAAAAAAAAAAAGAAGACTTTAACGCGCGACCTTACGATCGTAAACTTTTGCGACTGTATGCGCGATTCATGCCGAGTGGCAATTTTATTCGCGTAGAAATACCGAATTCGAGAGACAGAGAGAGAGCACGACGTTTGGACCGCTGTGCAGCTGTCACGTAATTCATCGGGTCTGCTATAGGTATACATCGACATGTGCCGCACGCATTATATATAAACGGCCCGCAGCTGAAAACAAGGGCACGATCGACATTACATATATATACGGTGATATCGAGGCAGAGAGAGAAGACGCGCGCGAAAGCTCGCATGTTTTCGCGTTTCTCTCGCTCGATATGCGAGTCTCGCGCGCAGCTGCTCGCGACGGAGACCGCAGCTCTCGAGCTAATTACTCGAGACACAAACGCGCGATCGTCAACTACATGCATTTATGTACCGTAAAGCTCAGTTCTCTATAAATTTTTCAATGCGACGCGGCTTTCGAGGAAAACAGGTGCAAAACGATACCGATTTTTCGGTATCGCGACGGTGAAATGCGGAGATATCGAAGCCTCGAGAGAAAGCGCGCGAGATAATTGAGGCAGAGGGCGGAAGACGCGCTCGTCTCGGAGCTTGCAACTGACACTTCTATATACACAACGTATGTGATACTTACTTTGGCGAGACAGAAATAAATACGGCGCCGTCGTCGTTGACTGGGCGCGCGAACTCGTGCACACCGCTGAGTAGAGAGTCTGGACGTGGATGAAGTTTATATAAAAAAAAAAAAAAAAAAAAAGCTCGAGCTAGAGCACTATAGAAAGTCGCGAATTCCAGCCAGGTAAATTAGTAGATTTCCCCGAGGAGCTGTCGGTTACTCTCGTTCTCGTTGTTATTGTTGTTGCTGTTACTGGCTGCACGAGGGCAATAATCGATGGCTGCATGCGTGCAATACACTTCAGCACACTTTCCTTCGTCGCATGCACAATTCGCGTACCAGCTACTTCTTCTATATATTACGATGTGTGCGGGACACGAAACGAATTCGCAACGACTCACGCACGCAGACACACACAGACACACACAGACACACGAGTTGTTTGTTTGTTGTTGTTGTTGTTGTTGTTGTATCACCAAGCACGCTCCGACACAAAAGCTCTCTCCCGCTGCCACACGCAGAGAGCAGCGCAGCGGTGTAAATATATCGGTAAGGCGGGATGCAATAGCCGAGCCAGGCACCGCACAGCAGCAGCAGCAGCAGCAGCCTTGGCTCGTTGTGCAATCGTTGCACCGCGCGAACTGAGCTTTCAGAGAGAGAGAGAGAGAGCAGCAGCTGCAGATCAATCGGCGCTCGCAGCTCGCCAACAACTACTACTACTACTCTACAACTCCTCTCGTTCCGTTAGCCGCCGCGACAGTTTTGTTTTCATCGTCGCGTTCTCCATCGTCGTCGTGTTTATAATATAATTTATGTAAGCTCGCGAGGGGCGGCTATAGATGTTTCTTTTTTTCTCTCGTGTATATGTTATGTTGTATTATAGCCGAGCGCGAGCGATGCACATGCACTGGACAGAGAGAGAGAGAGAGAGAGCTTGCACTACCGCCTCTTTCGAGGCTCGTCTGTCTGTCTGTATACAGTGGTATATAAAGCTGGTGACATCGGGCGCGCGCACAGAAACCGCCGCCGCCACCACCGCCGCGTGTATGTATGTATATATCGACGTACTTATAGGACACACGAGGCGACGCACTGCCGCCTCTATATTATGCTGCTGCGACCGCCTCGCCTATTCGTCACGATGGTTACTACTACTACTACTACTACTACTACTACTTACTATATAGTTTGGTGCCGCGCACAGAGCAAAGCTACTGGTACTAACTGCTGCTCTATATCCTACTTGTATGCAGCTACGCGCGATCCTCTGTACTACAACCACCACCACCGCCGCCAAACTACACACCTCCTTGGCTACAGCGCTACGTCTCTCTCTCTCTCTCTCTCTCTCTGGCAGCTCGCGCATATTATTATACCGTACCTACATAATATCGGGCCGCCTATACACATGACTATTGCAAGAGACGACGCGCCACCAAGACGACGAGCCAGCCACATTTCCTTATAGTACCAACGTGCCGTGCACGGCATTATAAGTATCACGGATGTATGAATATTGCATAGGGCCGATCCGTATAGTATGCGGGTACGACGAGGGTAAATTTACAGGTATATATCGGCTGCAAGCTCGCTAGCCAGCTTTTACTTTTTCCCCCGCTGCTGCTGCTGCATTATATCAAGACTATAAAGACGATAATTGCGTGCGGCTCGTAACTAAGCCAGTGTACGTAATAAAATATAGTTATGTAATTCGATGAGCCAAAGATCTAGTGTATCTAGACATTCCTCGCGTGACAATTTACCAATTCGAGAGCTTTATCGTCTCTTGTACATCTCGAGTGTAATCGCGTCCACGAATTTAACAATTTGTGGCGTTATTCACGCCGGACGAACGACAGTTTTCTCGGAGCGGTGGTATAACGTGAACCGGCTACGACGAGACCCGAGCCAGTTTCGCGCATTATTTTTACGTAGCTTATGATAAACTACATCGCCGAGTAAGTGCATAGTGTTTCTCGAGGCGAAGCAATCTTCGTCGCGCGATCGGCTCGTGTGTATACGGGCTATAAACTCCAGTTATATACTCGGGAAAATTGATGTATCGAGCGAATAATCGCTTCCATTTGTTGTTCCATTTCCCGGGAATCGTGTGTCAATTTGTAATTCTTGCAATCGTTTGTACCCTTGATTCGCAATGCGGACTATATAGGTCTCGAAGCGCGATGCTAATTATCCGAATTTCATTGTGTAATTCAAGCACGAGTTGGAAACGACGAAATATTTGCTGAAACGTACAGGGAGACACTCGCGCGGCTATAGTATAATAAATAGTGTGCCAGCGAACGGCAGATCACGTTTGCCGATACTTTCCGGCTTACATAGGCACGAATGTTTGCCAGGCCTTCAACTTATAAATCCGAAAAAATCTGCGACGACTCTCAAAAATGTTATCTCGTTACACGTATACGCGAGGAATTCGCCTCTGGGGTTGGTAAGAAGAACAAAGAAGAAAAGTAGGAAGCAAAAATGTGTGCCAACAGGAGGCCGAGTATTTCGCGCGCGACCTGTATATTATAATAATAACGTATGCGGGAGGCTCGCGCAGGTGCATCGATATACGTATAGGCAGCACGCGTGACTCTACTCCGTTATGTAGCCTCGTATTTCAGAGCTGCGAGTACACACATTGACACCCACACACACAGGTGAAAACACGAGTCAAAATAATTATTTCAGCCGCTCGCGCTCGTTATTCGAGAAAATTACCCTAAACGTGTACGCGCCGCATTAGCAGAAAAGCACAAACTGCGTGTAAACATGAACGCTGGGGCTATATACTCATGTAATACGTATTGTGTATCGGTCGTAACCTTATACACACACGTGTAAGCGATAATTATACGATTGATACGTAAGCTTTGTACAGTGGTACAAAGGTCACACTCCTCGCGGGGGTAGTAGGTAGAACACTAAACAAAAGAAAGTCCACGTAGAGTTACGCTTTTCTCGCAAGTTCGGACATTATATCGGTCGAACGAGCGAGCTTTCCCGTGTCCTATAGTCGCGAACGCGAGGGACGAATCGCGGTGACAATGAAAGTAGTGATGCACGGCGCGTCCGAGCTTTCGATCGCCGACTTGCGAACGCCCTCGAGCGATCTAATGGGCATATACGCAAGCTCGCCCGAGTGGACTGTACATAAAAACGCGTCGAGCGTTACACGATCGAGAACGGATATTTACAAATCATGAGCCGTGGCGTCTTTGCGAATATATTTTATTATTATATTATAGGAGCCGACGATCTCGAGCTTCCCGCGAAACTACCGCTGCAACAAATATGCATCCTATGTGTGTCATATGTACATTCGTAAAAGGTGGTGTGCAGCTGCGCGCCAATTTCCGACGTCGCGTGGGTTTACGTGTTTATTCCACTTGCGGGCGGGCAGTAGTACGGCTCGCGCGACTGTATTATATACTACTTATGCCGTGTTTCCTTTGTGTCGCGCGACGACCACTGGACGACGACGACTACGAGCTTTCATCGATTTTCTCAGCAGCAGCTCAGGCTCTCCCTTATGCCCACACACGATAATATCGAGTCCGCATGCACGAAATACGTGTGCCCGATAAATATTTATATGCAACGTAAATGTGTACAACACACTCGCAATGCGAGAAAGCTCGAGATTCAAATGTAATGCGATACGTGTAAGCTCCCCCCCCCACCCACCCCACTTACCCTTTTTTTACCCTATTCCTTATCCTCGCATTCGTAACATCCAGCTATATACCTACGTATCTGATTGAATTTCAAGGATTTGAAAAATGCAAGCTCGCGCTCGACTTGCGATTATACAGGCCATAGTACGAACTCGTTGGATCGAGCTTTTTCTCGTGCATATACACAGCGCTAAACGCTATTGCTGCTGTCCAGCTGTCTGCGCTGCGAATGTGGCACATTTCAATTTGTGTACAAATCCTCGTGTAGCAGCGCTGCGGAAGCTTTTATTGCGCCGCTGCTGCGCCGAGAACACCTGTTATTCGGCGCGCATAATTATCTCGAGCCGATCTCTCCGTGGGCTCGATTCGTTCTTCGGCCCGACATTTTAATTGATATCGTTCAACAGGCGCGGGGGATTCGCTTTGCGATATCTCGATCCTTTATCTTATACACAGGCGCTTAAATAAATCGTCTTGTTAGCGCCTGAGCGCGGACTCGCTCGGGATTCCGCTACTGCCTTTTGGACAGAAATGGATTTCCTTGCGCGTAACAAAAAGAGGTCGTCGCCGTGCATGTACTACGAGCGAAACCCGTGTTACGACGGATTTAATGGCTTCGCGAACACGGCCAGGAATTTATCGCTCAATTAAAGAGTTCGCTAAATGGAAATCGTTTCTGTCCAAGGGTAGTTACAGTGGCATCGATTACCGGGTTGTAAAGGTTTTATGCGATGCGCTGTGCTGTAGTTTTTTCGATCTTCGCTCCACAAACGTTGATTCTGGTTCCTACGGAGTGAAAATTCGAGAAAAATGAAAGGTAATAGTTAACGCCGGTCCCAACTTAAAAAGCCGAAAATTTTCCAAGACTTTTTTTTAAAAAAGTTCTCAAAAAATTCTGAAAATATTTTATTCAAAGTTCTTTGACTTATTTTAAACCGTTTTTGATTCTTGCAGTTTTTTAAACGAAAAACTGCAAGGAAACATCAACGTCTTAAAATTAGTCACCCCATCCAGTGATGATCACCGGAAATTTAAGCGAATAATAGCTTGGCGTAAACGCGAGTAGAATACAACCGACTCGAGGAAACGTTTAGAAAAGTAGTTGATGGGAGATATTTAATGATCGACCATTTTTTTTTTATCATTATGATTTCTTATTTATTTTAAATTAAGTAGAAAATATTTCACTGGTAATTATTAAGTAATAATAGTAAAAAATGTGTCATTTATCAATAAAATTATTTTATATTATGATAAAAATGTATTCGTTTAACAATGTGTGTCATCTGTCAACTTTTACTTTTCGGCGTGGTATTTAAAATCACCAATAACAGCTTTAACATATTCTTCCTGCATAATAGTTTCGAACCATTTATCAACGTGCTTATACTTCTTTCTTATTTCGGAATCGAAGACATATTGATAAGCTGGAATCAATGTTCCAAAAACGTAAATATCAGCCAAATTAATTTTGCTTTTCATCAAGAATTTCGAGGCTTGTAAAGTTGTATTTAACATATTCATCAATATCAATAGATCGGCCTTTGCAGCATCTTTAGAGATTTCGGATTTAGCCCCGATAGTCGATGGTATACATCCATAAACAGATGGAAGAATGTGATTATTCGCTATATTCAACCATTGCAAGACGTGACTTTGTTCGAGATCAGTTTTGCCTTTGAACGCAGAGTTCGCGGTATATACGGCTATTGCGGTTCCGTCAAATAAACTGACGTCTTCGTCTTCGTAGAAAATCGATCCCTTTTTTTCAGTATCTTTTGTATGCTTGTAAACTTTGATGGATCTCCTCACGTATCTGGCTAAAATTTGAATGATATAACTCTTTACGTTTCCATTATCCGCGTAAAGAGTTCCTTTAATGTTTTTTTTCACGCAACTTGGGTCATTTGGTACGCTTGTATTTTGCTCTGAAAAATTTCACATTTTTTGTTGTTGAAAAATATTTATTTTCTCTAAATTATACGTTAACCAAAAACAAGAAACTATCTATTTGACAAAAATCAAATCGTTACAATCGCTAAAAATTAAAAAAAAAGGGCAATCATGAAAGCATAATGGAACAAAATGTAATCTCGTGCATTATCAAAATAAAATTCAGGATGGAAATCACAAAAATCCAGGGTAATTGATTCACACACATGCATGCTCGTGCATTCGTGCAGCACTACGCTGTACCTTGCAGCTTCAAGAGAACCGTATCCGCGTAGACCTGAGCGGCGTTCAAAGCTTCTTTCAGACACGAGACATTGGTGCCAGAGGCTTGGGCGGATTCCGGTTTTCCACCTCCTCTGCCGTTCATCATCGGTGCTATCGCTTGAATCCATTCGTTAGCTTTCAGACCTTCTCCAATGGCAGACTAATGAAAAATAATACGCGAATAAAAATAATATTCAGAATTGATGAAGCGCATGTTAAATAATATCTTACTTTAGGCACGGCACTGAGGGCGAAGATTTTTCCCTCGTCGTGATCAACGGTTATGAAAAGTGCACTGGTCTCCGGCGAGATGGCTTTTACTTTTTTCAATGCTTGGTCCAGAGCTTTAGTATTATTGAAAGCCTTGAGTTCTTCAACGAGAACCTTAGCTCCTTTCTTGGCTTCGATCAGTTTTGTTGCAGTTTCAACAACTTCAGCTGCCACTGCTGCTTTAGCAGCGCGCTCTTTATCGTCGAGCTTTTTCTTCAAAGCTTTCAATTCGCTGCGCATCGCTTCCTGTAAACATTACATGAAGAATGAGTTATTGCCCGACAATTGAACCGACTAATCAAAGATAAATAAAAAAATCAAGAAACCTTTTTCCAGTATGAAATCGTAGCGTGGGACACATCGTCGGTGAGCTCGACGATCTTCTTGACGATCTCCTTGGTCGCGGCGGAATCCTTGGCGTCGTCCACTTTGCTCTTGAGCTTGTTCAGATCGTTTTGCAACAGTTCGGCCTTTTTCAGAGCTTTGTTGGCCTCGGGCCCGGTGAGGGCGACTATTCTACGAATGCCCTTGGCTATGGCTTCCTCGTTGACGATGGCGAAGTCGCCGATGTGCGAGGTGCGGTGCAGATGAGTGCCGCCGCAGAACTCGACGCTGGTCTCCAAGCCCGCCGTGCCGTTGGGATTCTTCTCGAGCTCCTCTATCGGCACACCGGCGCACACTACGCGCACGGGATCCGGATAGGTCTCGCCGAACATGGCGCGGAGACCGTTGATGGACTTGGCCACGGCGAGCGAACTTTCCTTGGCGTAAACTTGCTTGTCCGCGCGCACCACCTCGACGATGAACTCCTCGGCTTTTTTAACTTGATCGGCTGTCATTGCACCTGTTGGATTTATTCCAAGTTCGTTAACTTTCGCTTCGACTCGAGATTTTACGTAAACAATCATCGAAATATGTTACCTTTATTGGTAAAATCAAATCTCAATCTGTCCGGGGCAACCAAAGAACCTTTTTGATCAGACTCTGGTCCCAAAACTTTTCTCAATGCGCAATTGAGAACGTGCGTAGCGGTGTGATTGCTCATAATCAATCTTCTGCGGGAAAAGTCAACGTTCAAATGTAATTTGTCGCCTTTTTTCAAGGTTCCCTCTCCCACGGTTCCAATATGTAGAATGTAGCCACCTTTTACTTGAACATTTTTCACACAAATTTCCGTGCTCTGTGCATAATACATGATTTGTTTATTATTTCAAAATATTAACCAAAATTTATTCGTTCAATTTACCTCATCATCAACTTTAACTAAAAATCCTTCGTCATAAATTTGACCACCTTGTTCAGCATAGAAGTTGGTTTGATCCAGCAAGATACCAACTTCGTCGCCAGATTTAACTTCGTCGACGAATTGTTTATCTTTACGTAAAGCAAGGACGGTTCCAATGCAAGGAGCGAAACTGTATTCTGCATAACTGTCTTTCGATACAACTTGGTAATTATATTTAGGCGAATCGTCTGTTGTTTTGATTCCAGAATTTTGCAATTCTGTTATAGCATGGACGTCCAAATTGATCAAATCACTTGCTCCACCAGCTTTGTTTTGCGAAACAAGCTAAAACATTTTAAGTAATGTAATGCTATTAAGTTGAGTTTTGATAAATATTAAAAATTAATGAAAATTAAACATACAATAGCTAATTTTTTGGCTTCTTCGTAGCCTGCGAAATCGATCGTTAAACCTTTTTCTTCCGCCATCAATTGCGTTAGATCAACCGGGAAACCGTAAGTATCATACAATCTCCAAGCAACATCTCCGGGAACAACTTTGTCAGTGTTCAATTTAGCTATTGTTCTGTTTAATAAATTGCGGCCTCTGGTTAAAGTTTTAAGAAATTGAGCCTCCTCTTCATTGACAATATCCTTAATAGACTGGGGATCTTTTGTAACTTCCGGAAATACATCTCCTACAAAAAAAAAATTATTGTAGATCGAAAACTTCAAAGAATACATTTGTGCATGACATTTTCAAAAACCTTACCAAGAAGTTCTACCACGACATCAATGAGAGTTGCGAAAAATCCTGGTTTAGCATTCAATTTTTCGGTAGCATATCGAACGGCGCGTCTCAAGATTCTTCTAAGTACATATCTTTAAAACAGTAAGTAAAAAAGTGTGAAAACCTCTAATAAATGACGAAAGTAAATTGATAGATTCATATTTTTTTAAGTCATTCTTACCCTCTTCCAGTATTATCTGGAACTCCACCGTCAGCTAAAGCAATAGTAATAGTTCTTGCATGATCAGCAAGAACTCTGTAAGCCATGTCAATACCATCAACATCATCAGCTCCAACACGTCCTTGATAAGGAGTAGCATTTGTACCTTTTTGAATAGCATCAAAAAGTGGCAAAAATAGATCAGTGTCATAGTTTGAACGTTTATTTTGGATGACAGATACAAGACGTTCTAATCCCAAACCACAATCTATGTGTTTCTTAGGGAGTGGATGAAGTTCTCCATTTTTTTCTCTGAGCATAAAATCCATTAGGTTCATAAAAGAGTACAATTTATACATTTAAAATTTTTGAGATGCATTACCTATTAAATTGTATGAAAACCAAATTCCAAATTTCCAAAACATCTGGGTCATCCATATTTACAAGATGAGCAGCTTCCCTACCACCAATTCTATCAAAATGAAGCTCGCTGCAGGGTCCACAAGGTCCTGTTTCACCCATTTCCCAAAAGTTGTCTTTCATACTTCCAGGTAAAACGTGACTCTCAGGAACACTAAATAAATTTGATTATATTAGCACGAAAGATATTTGAGAGGAGTTCCAAAATTCTTACCCTAGAGAGAGCCACATATTTTTACATTCTTCATCTGGTTTTAAATTGGATTTTTCATCTCCTCCAAAGTATGTAACATACAGTTGACTTGGTGGTAATTTCAAAGTATCAGTTAAGAATTCCCAAGCCCAAGTGCAAATTTCAGTCTGAAAAATTGATACATTTTGTATAATTTTATTTCAACTGATGATAAAAAATTAAGAAGTTGATTAAAAATAGAATTCCACTTTACTTTAAAATAGTCTCCAAATGACCAGTTTCCCATCATTTCGAAAAATGTGTGATGATACACATCTTTACCAACATCATCAAGATCATTGTGTTTACCTCCAGCACGAATACACTTTTGTGAATTGACAACTCTTTCCCATTTAGCCATATCACTGTTAGGATCGACTGTTCCCAAAAATATGGGTTTGAACTGAAAAAAAAATCATTATTAATGATTTGAATACTCATCAAAAACTTTTCTTCTTACCTGATTCATACCAGCATTAGTAAACAGTAATGTGGGATCATCGTGAGGTATTGTTGAGCTGGAGTGAACATACTCATGCTTTTTAGATTTAAAAAAATCAATATAAGCTTGACGAATCTCTTTAGCAGTCTTTTGAGACATTTTGAAGAAGTAGCTGCAATCATTTTCAAATTTATAAAAAAATTATTATTAATACTACAATATTATTATTTTCTTATGTTCAGAATCATAAAAAAATTGAGCCATATGGACTGAGTATTCAAGTAAAACATTGATGGCATCATTAAAAATTTTATTAAAAACCATATTTTAATCTTGAAGCAACTTTTATACTTAAAATTTGAAACAATTTTCCATTAATTTTAATACAATTACGTTCAGATATATTTTCTTTATTATTTTTTAAAATATTTTTAAATACATTGAACTTCAAATTCATAAATTATAATAAGTTTTTAATGCTTGAATACTCAAGTCAGTGGAAACTGGAAATCAATCAATTTAATTGCAATGATAGATAATCGCTTGTCAGTAAGTCTAGTAAACCTAGATAAATGTATTGACTAAATTAGTAAAACAAAACATGTGCCAATTGCGGAGTTCGGCATTGTCACTTATGCGGATGACCGCAGTAAAAATATAAAAAATATTTCAAGGGAATATTTACTCGGATTAAATTATAAAAATTAAGAACAGACGTATTAGAGAATCAAAATTTTCTGTTGCAAGAACCAAATGAATTTCACCTTAACCTTTTGCACGCGTGTTAGTCAGACGCCGTATAAAAAGCCGACATGCACCTTTATGCTAAGGAACCAAATTCCATTCGCTGCTGCTAAATATGCTATGCGGCGACTTGCGCGGCTGCTCGCCGTAACTCGAGTTTTCGAGTCGTCGTCTGCCCTGTGTCTACGGGTGGTGCGTGAGTACACAACTCGACTCCGATTTCTCAGTGTTTTTTTTATATTTGACAGCTAACAACAATTAGTCAACATGCCGTTCATGATAGGGAAAGAGCCTGTGAGGCGAACACTGAATTATTTAAAATCTGGCAAATTAGTTTTGAAAAATTCTATTCAAATATTCGCCATTAATTTCAACTCTGTTGGACAAAATCACAAAGGCATAAGGTTAGAACTGTTGATATTTTTCTTTTTAAATTCATTTGTCCAAGTGCGATTTCATACATTTTGACAAAAAAAGAAGATTTTATGATAATTATACTATTTCTGGTACGGAAATAATGAATATAATAATGAAAATAAATTTCGTTGTTTCAGAGATTTTATATTTTGGCACTTGCCACAAGTATTGTTTAAAAATCGACAAGTCCAAATTGTAGAAATAAAAAATAAAACGCCAACTCCGTTTATAACTTGTTTTTATGGTAAGTTTTTAAATTGATCATTTTTTTTTTTTACATTTTTTTGGATAAAATAATATCAAAATATTAATTCGTCAACAGAGGATGGAAAAAAAATGCTGATTGATCTTGATGGAAAAAACAAAGATGAAATTCTTGATCATCTACTCAAAGTGGTTGGAAAATCAGCAGAAACCCTTAAACTTGAAGCTATAGCCAGAGAGAAAAAAGATAACCCAGCAAATTTTGGATTTGGTTGTGAAAAAAGTTGCATTTGTGAAATACCTGGACAAGTACCTTGCCCAGCTATAGTTCCCCTGCCTGTGCACATGAGAGGGAAATTCAAGTTCTCTAGGGAAACACTTGAATAATTTAGTATTTTTAAGTTGTTAGCTCTTTAAATTTTAAAATTCATTTATACTTGTATAAAGAAAATGTATAGTGAATAAAATACCATTGATTGTTTTATTAATCTTTGAACATTTTTTTCTCATCATTCAATTTCAAAAGTATATACAGTTTTGGGAAGTGTTACAAATAATTAGACTTCAAGTTATAAATATAAGTTTTTTCAACAGTTAAAAGATTTACACAGCACACAATCGTTTATACAATAACACAAGTAGTGTTATTGAAAACAATATTGTATATTTACATTTTAATACTAATAATAAGTTTATATAATACATTGGCAGTCATTAGTATAAGTTTTGCAAAATCAAAACAAAGCATAAATAGTAAGTATAACAATGAGCATTATCGTTATATCACTATTATTTTACACAGCTTGTAAAAACTTGTCCTATTCATCTTCTGCTTCTTCCACGTGAGTATGGTTTCCTATTATGATAATTGTCCCTGCTATGATGACGCATAGAGGTAGATGGTTTGCTATTATCGGCTTTTTGGTACTGCTGAATAACAGGAGTTCCAGTCAATGGTTTGTTCAAATTAAATTCTTCTTCAGATTCTTCCATCATTTTCAATTTTGCTTCAATGGCTTGTATGGCTGTATCTCGACTAAATTAAAATATTCATTGTTAATTAAAAAAATATTACAATTTATAATTGATTTATTTACCTTAATTTTTTATCTTCTAGCTTAGCACCCGTCAAAGCTGGAATAACTTCTAGTTGAGGTTTTGGTCGGTCCATTTCACTCTACAGTTTTATAGCATTAAAGAAAATACCAATATTTATAAGCAATAAAAAATTGTTGAAATTATATGTATTACCTCTTTAATACTGTGAGCATATCTCACTCTGATATACTTTGATCCTATCTTGAGATTTTGTAAGGCATTCATGGCAGTTTCAGCTTCTTGACATGTTTTGTATGTAACAAAAGCATATCCTCTTGGTTGACCTGCCTGAGGTCCAACTTTGTGGAAGAGAAAATCAAACTTCTCGATGTTGCCATATTTTTGTATTAGTTTCAGGAATTGAAACCAGTTGGAAAATAATTAAATTGAATTAGCATACAAATTATTAGCAGAGTAAAATAAATATTCTATAAAATACTTACTCGTTCATTCTGACATCTAAATTACCCACCCATAACCTGCGGTCCTCTACTTCATCAGTTTTGGAAACACCAAGAGGTAAAGGTATTTGGCTCTACAAAAAAATAAAAAAATGTAATTAATTTAACGTTTAAGAATGTTGAAAAGATATTTTAAGCATTGAACTATCTTACCTGCATGATAGCTGTCATTAAGCACTCTAACTTGTAAGACTTCAAAATTCCATCTCATCAAAAACGTGTACAAAATTAGGACTGAAGTTGAACCATTGAGATAATTATAAGCAATAATTAAAAACTACACTGTATTATAGGTTGCGTTTGAGTAATCAAACGGGAGCTGTCAGCAGAGTCGATCGGAGCAAAGAATTGACAGTTTGATTCAATTCCTGCACTGCGACTACCTATACACGTACGGAGTCGATTGTATTATACGTTGTATACATAACATACAAGTGTATGACTATATACACAACAAGTGACGTCATCGCATGTCTTTCGGAGACTCGACACTAGATGTCATATGCCGACAGTTAGAGTTGCCGTGTATTTTGTGACAACCCCTCGAGTGCTCGAAAGTCGACGTTATAAAACGTTCAGTTCCCAAATAGAGTTCAGTGTCAAATACTACTCATCTGTCAGTTTCGGATCAATACATTAAAAATCTCACTGTCCGGTGTAAATAAGAATTTCAAGTTAATTGTTGTCGCATTCAAAAATAAAAATGTTCGCAGTTTATCTAGAAACTGGAAATAATGGCCAAAAAAGGCTCATTGAATTACAAAATTCAATGAGTGGTGTTGAACTTATGGATATGCTCCATCAAAATTTCGTAAGTAGAATAGTTTTTCTTAAATTAAATAGCAATACTAAGTTGTTGTTGTTAACATCGTAATTACTTTTTTCAAGTATTACTTGGTGTTTAATGAGCAAAATAGAGGTTATGTTTTCATTTTTAATAATTTTAAATTTAACATTTACAGAAAATTTCAAAAGATACCTTTTTTCTCAAATGTAATGGGCTCTTAATAAATGAAGAAGATCAAATTCAAAATCAAGATGTCATTTTAATGCCAAGACTTCTAGGTGGTAAAGGAGGATTTGGATCCATGTTAAGAGCGATTGGTGCTCAGATTGAAAAAACTACAAACAGAGAAGCTTGCAGAGATTTAAGCGGAAGGCGCTTAAGGGACATAAATGAAGAAAAAAGGCTCAAAGCTTGGCTTGAAAAACAAGCCCAAAAAAAAGATGATTCAGAGGAAAAGAAAAAGAAAAAGATTGAAAAATTACGTGCTGAACCAAAACATGAATTTAAGGATGCTTCATATGAGGCTCAAAGATCTGAATTAACTGAAAGAGTTCAAGATGCTGTAGAGGCTGGCTTTGCGGTTGCTTCAGCTTCCATAGGTGTTAAAAGAGCATCAGAGAGTGAACCTAAAAGAGTTGTCAAGAAAAGGAAAACGATATTAGATGATTCAGATGATGATTTGAGTGGAGAGGATTCTTCTGATGAAGAAGAAACAAAAACAAATAAATTATCTGTAAGCTTATAAAGTTGTAAATGTACTTAGGTAATTAAGTATAAGTTTTGTATTTTTAGTTTAATACACTTATGTAGTCTCATCCTTCATTCGATTGTATATAGGTATAAATAATAATTTTATAATAAAATCATTCATAAAATGTCAAAACTCTTGTATTGTTATGTGTAAAATTCAAAATATATACAGCTTCATGATTAAATGAATTCACTTTCAATGTATTTTATCCTTCAAACATTTTTATTAAAAAATATCAACACAAAATCTATAGAAACAAATTACTTCCGCTAAATGATAATACAATAAAAATACGTCATCTCATATTAATTCTTTGTTGAAAATCTGACGTCATTCATAATAAGCCACTTGACAGTTGATCCGATCAGTTTAAGGCAAAGTTGTCTGCTAGCTTACACGTCTGTCCGATACGTAGTACACAAGTGTTGTGTTTTTAACTTAATAAAGGCACAACTTACGAGCAAACGTTGCATTACTTTTTAGTGACTCATATTTTGATTATAGAACAAATACTATATCAATTAGTTTTCGAATAATAATCATCTCAGCCTTTAAAATATAAATGATGTTTAAAAATAGGTTAGTTTGTTTACAAAAGTCTGTCATTTCGAAAAGCTAATGATCATTGTCCTCGATTATTTATTTCTCTCGTTACAGAACTGTGAAAACTTCGAATGATTGCAGATAACAAGTGCTATCAAAATAATTTAATTTAGGTACTGAGGTGGATGTGAAATTCGTTTCAAATTGTTAATTGAACATTGTAAAAAATGGATAGTGACATCGAAGCTGGTCATCGACGCATTTTGATGGAAAGTCGAGCTGCCGTCGAGCGTGGAAATCAATCGGTGGCCAAATCTCAAGCAATAGCCATAGAGACTGAGCAAATAGGGACAGAAGTAATTTCGGAGTTGGGAGAGCAAAGAGAAACTTTGATGCGAGCAAAAAACCGACTGATTAATACTGACCAAGAGTTAGCTAAATCGAGAAAAATTATAAATACTATGAAAAGAAGGGTTTTGACGAATAAATTTGTTCTTATCTTAATTATTATATTCGAAGTAGTTATCTTAGGTCTAACTGTTTATATTAAATTTTTTAAAAAATAAATAAAACTTGTTTATACTTTGTTCAATTCGTAATTATTCATTTATTTTTATAAAATGTTAATATTTTTTTAAATACTTCTGGATTATATCCTTCTAAAGTTGGGATTCCATTGACAAAAGCTCCTGTTTCGTACAAACTCATTTTTGGTGATATCCAAAAATAATTCTTTAGTCCTTCCAATCCACCCAAATTCAATGTATTTAATTGGTACACAGAAAAGTAATAATTTTTTCCATCAGAGTATACACTTTGTACAGTCACTGGTTTAGGCAGTTCTTTGACATCTTTGCCAAATTGTTCACAGGCTGAACAAGCTGCTGCAGTAAATGACTTTACAAGGGATCGTGCCTTTGTTTGATTTTCTCTGACAGTTAACTCCGTTTTATTTTTAACTTTAGTTGGGTCGTGATAAACAAATATTGTGTGCAAATGTTTTTGATGGTTACCAGTAATCACAGCTGTATACAAATAATGATTAAAATTTTTAAAGTAAACAGTAAAATGTTATAAAAAGAATTATTATGATGTAAAAACTTACGGTACAAGTATTTATGGTCATAAAAATGACTTTCATCAAAACCAATAGAAGGATGTAGTGGATGCATATCTGGCACAATCATCTTTTTGCAAACTTCTTCATTGCCTTCCATGTTAGGTTTCAAAGTTTCTTTAGAAAGGAGCATTAAATCCATAGTCAAAGTGAATTCAAAAAGTTCAAATTCCCTTTCAAATGGATAACATAATAATCCATTTTCAACAACACTTCTGTTTTTAACAAATTCAGGACCACTCAAACGATCACATAGCTGTAACATTTTCTTGTTCAAATTTTGTCTGGAAAATAACAACACAAATGAAATGTGAATTAAAATATTTTCTTTTTTTTTTTTTTTGACACTTACGCTTTCCTCAAATCTGTAATACCCATTTGTCTAGGAAAGTTCCAAGCAGGTCTCAGAGGATCTTTTATTTTTGGCAAAAGTTCTTGATGAGCATCAAACATAACCGATGTTTTAATGATCCTGATGATGAATATTATCAATTAGTTAAAAACAATATCTTAATTATTAAATATAATAAAGTTAAATATAATAAAAACAAACTTTTGTACGAGTTCATTGGTATGATCTGAAACATCTTCTGTTGATTTTTCTACAGAATCTGGTAATGCATCATTGAAAAGAACAGTTTTTGTCAAGTGTTGAGCTTGCACAATTCCCTCCAATAACACAATATTATCTCCGTATTGTAAACATGGGACTTCCTTGTAATCAGGATGCGTTGAGTCTCTGGGAAGTGGCTTTGGTACCAAGAAGTCATCATTATTGATACTGTACATAAATGTCATAAATTATGAAATATTTCTTTCTATTGTCAATAAAAATATTGTTCTCATGAACGTATTGTCAATTGGCATTACATGAATCTATTTTTCGGTTGATGGTCTAAGTATATTTCTGCATCGATAACGGGTATACCTCGCTGAGTGAGGATCTTTTCGGCATTGGTTTCGAAAGGTTTCACTTTGCCTTGCGAATACCAATTGTTACGTATTTGACGACCGATGTGTTGCTTCCACAAAACTTGAGATAACTTCATTTTTGTCGGAGGAAAAACAACTTAAAAACTAAACAACAAAAGTACGAAAAATTACGTTAATAGGTTACGGCACTTTTATACTCTACGAATCGTCCACCCATGCGGCTCACGCCTGCCACACTCACGATTGTATAAATTGACATTACAGACAGCGGCAACTCGACACAGTGTACAAACTCGCGTATTTCGGTCCGCAGCGTTGGCTACGACTTGTCCAGATGAAAGTTTACCATGCACAAGTAGCAGAAAGATCATGCATTTGACATTTCGCAAGCCTTCGATTGCGCTGGATCATTTGACAGGACTCGAGGACTATATAACGAATGGACGGAATAAAAAATTCAACGACGTTTATCTTTGATATTATCAATTTGGGTTCGATTTATCGAGATTATCAAGTTGTTTTTTTTCAAAGATGGGGTTGGGTCCGCAATCATGTTTTGTTTAAAAACCGTTTACAAAGTTGTCAACATTCGCATTAAAAAATTCGTTGCGAAACTCGTTGCGAAAAAGATGAAATTCAAAGAAGCCTCGAACTACAGTCAAATCGAATGATAATATTTGATCTTAAAACGAATAACGTCGTCGACTTACATTAAATTCGACGCAGTTCGCATACATATATTCGCTAGCAGGGACAGCAATTTAGAAAGTAATAAAGATAAGGAGCCTGTGCGTAATTTAACATTTGCACAAATGCCGTAAGTATACATCATTGGGCTACATGGATATGCTTTTCTGCGCGAAAAGCGCAAGCGTCGCGAGAGCCACGAGAGTCGGTGTGTACTGTCTGTACTGTCTCTGTGTACGTGCATAAAGCGCAAGTTCGAAAAATCATGGCGGCACCACACACTGCGCGCAATGCGTCGGGGGGACGCGCGATTTGTTTACATGAAATTCAACGAGGCCGCGCGATGCCTGCCTGCACATTCGGAGCGTCGTTATTAGTAAATCGGAGCAATATCGATCCGTTGTTTCGTTCGATCAAAGTCGCGTAATTCGACTCGCATAAGAGCCAAGTATTATAGATAGTGTAAAAAAATGTCAAAAGGATCGCTCGTACGGATGATCGCGGGACATCGATGCGGGCAAGGATATCAGTATACGCAAGTAATAATGCACAGAAACGAAAGGGGAATATATAATAGATAGTCGAGAGGTGCGAAGCGGTAACACGCGCGATCGCCTTATTGCAATGCATGCATTTGTTTTATTACGTGCCACCAGCAAACAAACAGGAAATGTAATTCGATTGTGGAGTAGTCGCACGATCAGTCGCTCGCATTCGAAAAGAAAACCTGGTAAGTGTCATTCGAAAAAGAAGTCATCGGCATTTGGATCCGAGATTCGACTTTGACAGTCCTATGGTCCACGGGGTCGCTCGCGAGCCGACGAGTCAGTCGTATTACTCGTGCGCACATTTTCGGAGCATATAAGAGCGTCGGCGGAGTACAGTCTCTCGCTCTCTGCGTACCACCACCGTGTCTCATATAAACTCCATGTGCCATGGCGTGCACACATATAGTCAGTGCTACGGAGTACAGTACACGCAGCTTCGAGAGAGCGTCGGCGTATTAATGCGCGCCGCTCTGTACGCTCGGCGATTCGCACAAACTGGAGTCGCGCGTGTCGTATACTATATATATTGGCAAACTTTGGCGAGGGAAGGCGAATACTGTATTACATATAGTATACGCGAGGCGCAATGTGGCAATGCCAGACTGTACCCAAGGCGCATGTGTACCTATATACAATGAATTCGCACCAACACAGGCGCGACTCATCTGCTGTGCTCCAGCGCGGTATACTATATATGATACGGACTCATCCTACACATATACACACACACACACAAACAAGCGAGGCGCGCACGCAGTCGCACAAAACACTCCTCCGTGTGTAATGCGGCTCGCAGCTCCTATATGTACTATGTACGACGACTCGCGCACGAGTATCGCGACGGCATCGTGCGTATACCATACCTATCTATATCGCGTACAATACGATATATAACGTCGGCTTTTCCGCTCTTCGGTGTATACGTATGTGTGTACCTATCCTATATCGCCACTGATATAGCCGCCGCGCCGCCGCGGACGTACACGATAATATACCTATATACCGCACGAGCGCGAGCAGAGAAACCGTGACTCCATGTATAGAGACCGGAGTGTGCGTCGTGCCTATCGTCGTATGTATACATATATATCGAATATAATATCGGAGCGCGCGCCTAGCAGCAGCAGCAGCGGCAGCAGCTCTCGACTGCTATAACGTCGACGACGACGACGACGTTATCGTCAGTACTGCGCTCGAACCGCGTGTGTGCGTGTCTCTCTCTCTCTCTGTTTTTTGCTCCGTAAAACACAACGTTATATATTTTTGTTAATAAAAGGAATAAAACTGCATCGCGTTGTTGTACCGGAGTGTGCCGTGTTTACCGTGTCGGTGTACATTAATATTGCAAATAACGCGCAGCAGCCAGTGTCGTGCACGCGCGCCTCTCTGGACACATATACATCACAGCCGCTGGGGGGCCGCCTGGACGACGACGATCGCTCCAGCCGTATAATACATATATAGAACGACGACGTCTCGAGCGTCATATACACAAGCACGCCAGTAGCAGCAGCGTGCCGCGGCTGCGGCGGCGTATATATAAATTGGCAAGCGCCCACACACACTTGCACGCGCGGCCTCGCTCGCTCGTCGCACGTATATATATATACATACACTGACACCGTCTTTGATACAAAAGATCGAAACTAGACAGCCGGCGGCGGAGGAGGAGGCGAAGAGTGCGTCGTCGTGTGGAAATTAAAAAAAGCCGAGATTTCATCCACCAAGATCAAGCTGCGTCGTCGAGTAGCCAGGGCGGCTAGCTCCGCTTCGAGACTGCCTGCTGCAGCAGCGAGGAAGGCGAGCGGCAGTGGCGGCGGCGGCCGCAGCAGCAGAACCATGAGCAACAACAAAAACACCAGCAGTAGCCGTGGCGGCGGCAACAACAACAACAACAATGCCAGCAGCGGTGCAGCAGGCGCACAACAGGCTGCCGCTGCCACGGGCTCGCGACAAGCGGCCAATTTTAATTTCGATCGAGGTAAAGAAAGACCTTTATTAAATTTGCGCCAGTGCATGTGTTGTTGCACCATCGAGTGTCAACGCGATGCACGCCGCGCGCTCGCATGCATACGATGCTTTACCTATATGCTCCTCCTCGCCCCACGCATATCCTCTTCCCGATGTTATGTTTTACTTTATTATTCATTAATGAAAAAAAAAAAAAAAATCGATGTAAGTTGTATATTTTTTATACTCGGAGTTTGTAACGTTAAGCGAAATGGCAGCTATGATATACCGCTTGGTCGTACGTAGCTCGACCGACTCGTGTGTGCTGGCTGTGTCGTCGTCGCCGTCGCGATGGATCATGGAGGCCTACTGTACTCGTACAACGTTCGCGTTTATGTAGACCGGTGTGCGTCGTCTCTCTGCGTATATATTGCGCGGCATTACTTTTTTCCGGCTGCATTATTTACACACAATGCTCGCGAGGAGAGCATGTGTGTTGTCGTCGTCGTCGTCGTCGCCGCTCGCGTCTCTCGCACCAGCATAAGATATTATATTTAAAAGCTAGAAAAGTGTAGTCTGCAAGAAGCTCCACACGGCTCGTCTTCTGCTCGTATATATACATTTTGCCTCGGTTGCTGCAGACGCGCTCGCGTTTAGCTATATAGCGCACGCAGGCATATACAATATGCCGCCAAACGGAGTCCAGCGGAGCAACGCCGCGCCGCTGCTCCATTATACATCGCAGAAGCAGCAGCAGTAGCCATACGCCGCCTGGAATAAAGGCTCTCTTTCTCTCTCTCCCGAGAGAGAGAGAGACTCATGGCTGTCGTCCATGGCTTCTGCTAGATTATATATACATATTTGACGCCGCAGACGCCGTCTTTCTCGCGATCGCCTCCGTCTGCCATGCCAGCTTTCGTATACACGGCTCGCCTGCCATAATACTACTACATATATATATATTCGCACACATATGCCCGTGTCTCTCCTTGCGTACATATAGTCTCTTTCTCTCTCTCGCACGCACGCAACAGCGTATATACAAACATATAGGGATCCTGTCGAGTTGACTGCTGCTGCTGCTGCCACCGACGTTCATTTTCCACGCAGTCGTCCCGTCCTTGTTCGATTCACGCGCGTCTCTCTCTTTCTCTTTCCAGCTTGCGCTCGCTTTGCTCTCTCGATGTTGGCGCTTTTGCGCAGTGACTGCGTCATGTCGTGCATTTCCAGCAGCGCATTTGTAACGCACGCTCGTATATATACGTACGCGCTACACAACAACGAAAAACCTACATATATACACATAAAAATCCCGTACGTGTGTGTGTGCGTGACTCTGTGTGCAGCAGTCGTTGGCGTCTGCCCGTACTCCATATAGCCATATATTATTGCGCTGCGCTCTGCGCGCGGGCCTATATAGCAGTAGAGGAGTCTCGATGTGCCTCTGCTATCTCGTTGCTGCGACCGCCGCCGCCGCCACTGTCGTCGTCGTCGTTCTTTGGCGTATATATTCGCGCACCACGACGGAGTCGCGGACTGCTGCTGCTATACAGCACGCCAAACAAAACCCGTCGTCATTTTCGCACGTAAACGCGAGTGTGTGTAGTGTATATACTGCGTTTACTGTCCGTCCGTCGTCCGTCAGTTGCGAGCCGGCCACTACGCGTCTCGGTACGTGTGTGCTCGTTGTTTTTTCCGAGAACACCTCTGACCGTTGCCCCGTTCAAGTTGGCCCCGCAGAAATTGCCAGTATAGTGCCTTCCGTATTATCATATATAGTGTTGTTCAGTGTGCGTCTGTTGTCAGAGAGAGCGAGCGCGTGCAGACATTTATATTTTGCACGATGTAAAGTTAGAAAGTAAAAACTTGGACCGTGTGTCGCGCAGTGGTGTGCGCGAGTGTGAAGCATATAATATATATACGAGACTGGATCTCCGTTGCAGCGTATAGACTTTTTCCAGTGTCCGTTTTTTTTTTTTTTCGTTCCTTGTGTTTGGACGTTTTTTGGCATTTGCTCGCCGGTATATACAGACGTCGAGTGCGTAGTAGCAGTAGTTAAGCTGTAGTACACAACGTGCCGCGAGAGGAGATCGCGCGTCGCTTCTCGTCGACAAAGGATAATTCGGCGAAAAAGAAAGCACAGAGCGCGTAGGTGCGCGCGCGCTCGCCCCGCTGCCTGACTGCCTGCCTGCCTGCGTTTGCTACTGCTATAACTGCCAACTGCTGCTGCTGCCTGTCTTTTTTCGCAATTTGGCGCCGGCCGATATTATACGCTGTACACAAGGCCACCTAAGGGACATCGTCTCGGGAAAGCCCGTCGTCGTCGTCGTCGTCGATCGTCGTTGTGTCGCGCCATGATAGCGTCGCGCCTGCAGCAGCAACGACGACGTTATTACAATAATAATACCGAGCCTTCTGTTTTTCGCCTACTCAAGACGTAGTATAGCAGTACGTCGAGCGTCCGAGGCGCTTATAAAGCCGCCTCTGGTCACTGGTCGTGACAATCTCCAGCAGCAGAACGTTTTCGCGGCAGACGGCGGGTTTTTATACATACACAGTGTATCCTTATATATTTTTTATATAAAAAAAAGCCATATACAACGTACAAGTGCCACAGTTCGTCTAACATATCTGCGATATATATGTAATATATACCGCGGTGCCAAACGGCTCGGCCGCAGAAACACACACGCTTTGTTTTGCGACGACCGTGTTTTGATATACATATAGTACACACGTATAGTACGCGAGGGCAGACGCTGCTCTCTCTCTGTCTTTCACACTCGCTCTCTCGTGTGTGTGTGTAAGAGCAGCCCCGATATCTATCATGTCGGCTACCATCTCGAGCCGGCCGCTGCAGCAGCAGTGCAGCGAGCAACAAGTGGAAGCCGCCACTGCACTCGCCGACGTCTCCACCAACCGGACGATGTTTTGGCCGCAACAGAATCAACACTTCTCTTGCACCTACCAATGTACATGCCCGTTTGCTTGCCTTTTTTACTTTAAACATATATATTAAGATACGATAATATGCATATCTACTATATAGAATCCAAACGCGACTTGCGCGCCTAATACACGTACATGCTAATGCAGTCGCGGGATATTTTTAGATCGCGCCCGAGAACCAAACAATGACGAGCTTCTGCCCTTTTGATCTCTCTCTCTCTCTCTCTTGCTCTTTCTCTCCTACACGTTCGCTCTCTTTTGCATGCCCTCGCTTCGAGGTCTTTGTCACATTGCAGGCGTATATAGAAATACCGAGAGAGGCTTTTTTTATTTTTGTTGCTAATTTTTATTTTTATGACAACGCACTCGGCGCACCAACGCGCCAAGCTTTATCCCCGCCACACTCCTATTGTAGAATCAACTTTCGACGTTGACAAATTCAAACGATGACCTTAATGCGTCAATTTTTTTTGTTTGCAGATGATATGGGCCACAATGGAGCTATGCTGGATATGTTGGCAGAAGTCGCTTCGCAGACTCTTCACTGCGAAAAGAAGCTCAGCGAAATAGACTCAAAGAAAGCCAATAGTAAAAAGAACAAAAATCAAAAGAGTCAACCGACGAATCAGAAAAGTCCCAAAATTCAGAAAGTTCAAAAGAACCAAAAAAGTCAGATAAAACAGTCATCGACTTATACTGTCACACAGTTACTTTCTATGCCTGCGACGCAGCTAGTCAAATTATTTACTGTATTTAGCAGCGACGAGCTAAGAAAGTTGTATTCTTATTCCTGTGCATTAGTACCTGGATGCGGTGAAAACTTTACCAGTTTCGCAAGCGAAGAGAGAGCCAATGTATCTATAAAATCTCATTTAGCCGACCATTTAAAATTCCTACAAAATAATGCAGAAACATGTTAGTATTCTTGAAATTATTATGCTGCCATAAATATTAATCAGTGCACAGTGAGTATTTTATTTTTTATATTATTGTTACAGATTCTACATTCACAGCTACGGCAGTCAATGATGCCATGATCAAAGTAAAACCAACTCCGATCAGAAAAGTTGAGAAAAAAGTAAAAGTTCAACCATTAAAAAAGCCTTTGAAAGAAACACTTAACAAAGAAAACAAAGATATTAAGACAACCAAAACTGCTAATCAAGTACGTAAAATTTTACCAAAACAAGTCAATTTGAAAGAAGTGGAAAATAATACTGAAGAAGAAAAAGTTGTTGAACAACACGAAGTAATTATACCAGAAGCAAAGAAAGAAATCTCAGAAATAAAAGTACTAGGTGATCATAGTTACTTTGAAACAATTAGACAAGAAAATATTATTGAAGAACCTACAACAATAACTGAAGTACCTGTAAACTCGTCATCCAATGAAAATGTAAGTGTAATAAAAATTTGTATTAATAATTTTTATTGTCGATTCATTCAAATTTGAAAACTGTATTATGAAATTGAACATTAAGCCTAGTTTCCAATTGTAGTGTCTATAATAAGTACAGTGCAACTTAAATTATGTAATGCTCAAATATTCTATTTATAATTTGCAGATCATGTTAATGGTAGTAGAGACTAATGGAGTTAGTGCAAAAGACTCATCTGATACTATAGAAAATCTACCAAGCCCCATGAATGCCGAAGATAATCAAGTACAAGGTAACAATTAAATTTTTTATCTAACATTTTGAATATTTTTTATTTCAAAGTCTTCTTCTCTTGATCAGTTTTCTTAAGAAAGTTCATGTCAGCTAAATATTTTTAGTTAATGATTGCAAAAACTTGAGTAATTTTGAATAAAATGTAAAGTAGTCTTAAATCCTGTCATTTTTTTTCGTATTGACTTCTTTTCGTGACCATGTCAAAAGGTTAACCTATATCTTACCTGCATGTCTTTTTTTGGTCTGATGAAAACCTCAGTCTCTGTGAATTTGTGTTCAATTTTTTTTATTATGGGTTACGATTTTATTGTTTTTACATAAATTTAGAAGTTCCAAAAATATTAATAAAATATATTATTTCTATTTTTGTAGAAGACATGACTCTCTGGAAAGATGAACCAGTGAATGCTAAGGCTCCAGATTCATTCATGCCAGCTAAACCCAAAGGAAAAGCAAAGTTCATAGGCACTAGTAAAGAAGAACGAGAAATGGCCTTGATTTTAATTGAAAAAATTAGAAAGAAAGGAAATCCTACTGGAAATAACCTTCAATGTCGAATATGTGACCCACCTCGTAGTTTTACAGCTCCAACAACTTTGGTTTCACATTACCGTAGTCATGCTGGTATCAAACCATATGAATGTAGAATTTGCAAGGCTGTTTTTACACGAAGACACAGCCTTAAGTATCACATGCTAATACATCAAAATCAAACACGTTTTACTTGTGCTGATTGTGGAAAAAAATTCAGACATCCATCGCATTTCCGAGAACATCGCCGAAGACACACGGGAGAAGCACCATTCGGTTGTGAAGATTGCGGTCAAAGGTAACACAATGTTGATTGATGTTTAGTTATATTTTAAAAATTTTGTTTACCGGCATTTCATAATTAATATTTTTTATGCAGATTTAAAACAAGAAATACCTACAAGCGTCATTTAAAAACTCGCCATGGAAAAGTGCTCACAATAACTGGAGAACTACTTCACTTATCAGAAGAGGATTCTAAAAAAGTCAAGACCAAAAATCGCCGAAAAAAGCAAAGTAATATTGACAACATCATAAATGAAACTGCTACTGCAACAGAATCTATCATTGACTCCTTACAAAATGACAATTATACGTGGGAAGATCAACAAGCTTGTAATAGTATCATTGATAACAATGTGGATCAATGCATCGATAATACTATTTGGATGTATGAAGAAAATCCTGTTGAAGAAGAAAACTTTACAGAAATTCAAGACAAATCACCTAACATGAAGACTGACATTAACGAGACTGAAATAGAAGGTAATTTTGATAGCAATGAATTAGTCATTGCACAAACTGGTTCTGATGGCATGTTGCATTTTCAAAACTATAACTGCGCACAAAATAGAGTTTATGCAGATGGTAATACCATTCAATTTTCTTGCGAAGATAGCATTTGTACAGATATGACAGAGAATGTTAAATCATTTGAAAATCAAGGAGAAACTATTGTTGAATATCAAGAGAGTGTTGATAATTTTAATGAAGCAATAGATCAACCTATTTTTACACCGAAAGAAGAGCCTGTAGATAGTCTTTTTGTACTTGAAAACGAAGAAGTTATTACTGAAACAATTGAAGATTCTGAAATGAAGGAATTGATTTCCACTACTGAATCTAATGAAGAGAAAGAAGCTACACCTACTGAGACTACTTCGGAAGAACAAACAGTAAAAATAATACCTTGCCAAGTAAAAGTTAGCGATAACGGCGGTGCAACAACTTTGCAATTCTTGAAGAATAGCAAAATTCTAGGAATTAAAGGACAAAGCATCAACCTTATCCAAAATGGTAAACACCAAACATATTTACTTCTAGCCAGCAATGATAACAATATATTGGAGTTTGATAATAGTGTTATCGGAGGATCAAAATCACTGCCTGTGATTCCTGTTCCAGCTGAATGAAAAACAATACACATATATTAATAAGTGATGTCTTTGGCAAAATTGATTTCATGTTGTAATTAAAGAATTTCGTAAGGTTTCTATGAGATAATATTTAGATATTGTATTCAACAAAATCTATTTATAATGATTTAAAAGACAAAAATTATTTAAAATCGAAGAATAACTGACTCCAATACTATAAGTTAACATTTTTGCAATGATAGAATCGTACGATTATTTATAAATAAGTAGCGTTTGAGTTAAATATACATCATATTGGTTACTCAGTTTCATCTTTTGTGTACGTTATCATATTTTTTGGTACAAAAAAGTATTGTAACCAAAATTATAGTCATACAGTTTGTGAAGATGATTATGTATTGAAAATTTCGAATTTTTAAAATTTTAAAAATTTTTAAAAAGAAAAAAAAGAGATAACGTGATTATCTCTTTTAAGGAACATCAATACTTTTTTGTCATGTAGCTTGGGACACTTGTTGCAACGCGCATCATAACAATTACTTTCTTCTGTTGCTCAAGTTTGTCTTCCAATCGCAGAATTTTAAAAAATTTGATTTTGTAACTAATAATCGCATAAATTGGAATAAAATTAAAACTATTTCAAGACAAATTATTATTTCGAAATGTAATTGTATCGAAAAAAAATTATATTATTGAACACGTAAGGATCTTATAAGTCGAAATAATTTTGGTAAAATACCAAATAATTAAGCAACGAATTTGAGAATTATTTATTGGTATATGTATTAGTTATGCTTAGGCGCCATCAGCGCGAAAGTTTTTCATTTAAATTGAACAAAAAAAAAGTTACAGTCATAATGAGAGGCTTTCCTATTATCAACGCGCTAGATTTCTCATTCATAGTTGCGATAAGAATCGCAAAAACATTGAAATGCTTCATAATAACATATGTGAAATGTGCCTTATTACACGAAAAAAAGCAATTGTCAAATTGATTCAGTAATTATTTCAGCGTTCTTATGATGAAAAGAAATGAGAATACATTTATTTAAGTCATTTATCCATTAATAGATGTAAGAAACCTTAGGATATCGTTCTCTGCATACATATATCGATTAATAGCTTCTTATCATAAAAAATGTATGTAGTCATTGTATTTTTATACATATTTTGTACTTATATCTATAAATTTCGAAAATCTAAAAATACAAATTTTTCATTCTTCATACTGATCCTTGGTCTTGATTGAACACACTCGCTCCTTGAGCTTGATTTCAGTCGACGTTTGACAACAGCAATACAATATCGATAGTAACAAGAGATTAATCGACCACGATTCTGAAAATTCAATAGTAGAAAACACGATTACTTCTACTTATCGGTCCACGTGAGCTCTATAAGTGTCAAAAAATTACCTGTAAAAAAGCGCCAGACATACGTGTGTCCGATTTCGTCGCCGGCGAAGAAGTAAAAATTGGAAATTGCCGAAAACGCCAAAAGCGGACTGCACAAGGCGCATTCGAATCTTCGCCTATTGCTCGGACCCATTTTGTCGCGCAGAATAACTTTGTAAAAATAATCGCTGAAAGATCTCGCGGTATTCTCTATCACCAATCCCAGGAAGTTCAAGAACGACCATATGAAAATGTACAGATGCATGCCGTGCCACAGATAGATAAACGCGAAGCTCACGGCGGTCGCCAGAACCTTTCCAAGATGCGATCTGGCGTTGCACGGAATGTAGATGTATCTGCGCATAAAAAAAGTTAAAGTGGATCACGACGAACGATCGTCGAATAATGCGTAAACCGGCGAAGGCGGTCAAACTTACTTGAGCAAAAACGTGTACAAGCCTCTGTCGAAGTGTTTCCACATGTCCGAGTAGAGGTGTATGCGGCCGATGCACTTGGGCTGGGCCGGGGCCAGGACGTCGTCGGCGCGACAAGCCGTCGACGCGAGTCCGTACACGACCACGTACTTGTTGAGAAAGTACTGGCCCAGGCAGTAGCCGAACCCGTAGAGCGCCCAGGGCCCGAGTCGACGCACCACGTCCGGATGAAATCTCAGCGCGTTGAAGTACACGTAGTGCAGGCAGAATTGCGTGACGTACAGCCAGAAGAAGTATCGCGCCAGGTCCAGAGCGATTTTTTTCGTCCTGTCCAGGCTCCAGGGGCGGTAAGTTTTTTCGATCCCTCGGACGAACTGCTCGTACAGGATGATCGGTCCCAGGAAGAGGGTCGGCAGGTAGAGGCAGTAGGCGACATTCTTCATGAGATCGAGGACGAAGCCGTCCAGGTCCTCGTAGACGAAGCCGTCGATGGAGTCGAGGCCGTAGCTGATGCTGCGCAGCTGTATCCAGCAGATCGCCGCGGTCAGCAGGAAGTAGGCCTCGTCGTCGAGGCCGAGCCACTCGCGAAACACGACGTCGGAAATTTTGGCCCAGTAGATGAGGCCGAGGGTGCAGCAGTGCGCGCACCACGACAGCCACTTGCTGCGTACCGAGGCCAGCAGACACGACAGGCAGGGCAGCAGCAGGGTGCACAGCGTGCTCAGCAGGCCGAAATTCGTCCACAGGTAGGTCAGCGACACGGCCATGTACCATCCGCATATCAATTTCTGTTGTTTTTATATCGTCGAGACAGGTGTTGGTAAGTATATTTAGTAAAACAAAAAAGTTGAGGTAGAAAATTACCTTATTGGGATGATATTTTTTGATCAACTGGCTGACGACGATCTGCACAACGACCCAGGGGATGAGCTTGAATATCAAAGGAATCCAAACTTTCCATTCCTCGTCGGACGTGTCCAGCTTGCGTTGCAAAAGTCTCCAGCCGGGTGCAAAGTCGTTGTAGGCGTCGTCGTAGTACTTAAAGACTGGTCGAAATATAATTTTGATTTATTCGATAAAATAAAAGCGCGGTGAAATGTTTGATACAATTATGGAAAATGTGCGGTCATTGAGCTTTGACACCCGAGTCAAAAGTGGCGCGCAGTAAACAAGCGTATTTCGCGCTAAATCGCGAAATTGATTTTGAATTTGTCAATATATCATATACTCACAACTCTCGGTCACCAGATGAACGCAGTAAACCGAATAAACCACCGCCGCTATCCAGGCAGCGAAGTAAAATCGAACTTCGGCCTTTGGAAATTGATCGGCTGCCATCCTGCAAGCACCTCGGCGCGCATAACACAGTTATATGTCGGGGGGACGATGTCGATTTTTCGGAGCAGTGCTAGAGCTCGAGGGGCCTTTTTTCAAACGGAGCCCGCGCACGTAAGATAGCCAAAATCAGTCGGTCTATAGTATGGTAGCAGCAGCAGAGGACTGGCATTCATCCGTAGTTTTTAATGCGGGCTCACCGGTAATACTGGTACTAATATACCGCACAACAACAATGCAACGAAATACCGTTAATACATTGATCGTCCGAGGCTACGTTTTTTTCTTGCCGATCTTCCTCCAGTTGTCTCGCGTCGCGGCTATCGCAGGTCGCCGCGATGGTATATCGATCGATGTGCCCAACGAATCCCAACGCGAAATTTTAAAATGACAACATTCGTATGCAATCGAAATCCCACACATGCGCAAATGCAGTAAGTAAACGCGCTTGAGTCGAGTAGGAAAAGGCGGCCTTCGTCAGCTCGAACGTCGACGGGGAGGGGGGGGCGCATGTGTGTGTGCGTACGTGCGCGCATACACTGTATTACGGAGTTGAAGTAAAAAAATCGTGACGTTCGAAACGAGTCAAGCGGACGAGCTCAAAACGGAGTTAATATAGCCCGGGATCGCTGCATCGGTCGAATGACATTTCTGCTGCAGTCACGGTACACACTCGGTAGTACAGCTCGCATGCGCCGCCGCGAGTTGGAAATGTTCTCGAAGTCTCATCCGCATATGCAGCAGCACCTCTCAATGTAGTATACCCCGCTGCAGGCCAGAACGCACACACACACACACTCGTACTTGTATTACTATCGTATAAAGACACGCACGAGAGCAGCAGCTCTGCAGTGTATAGTTGTCTGCGTGCGACTCTGCAACGCAAGTCGTAGCGAACTGGCGTTATAAGCCATCTGTGTTCTCGTCTCGCTAGCTCGGTCGTCGCGCAGTTCGTATAGCTTTTATCCTGCTGTGGTGCGCCGTGCAGTGTAGTATTATAGTGGGCAGCAGAGCCTCCTGCGTTGGCATATCGCGAAACTCTCGCTTTGCTCTGCTCTGCTCTGCTCGATCGTCAACAAAGGCCAATCGTTGAACTTTATAGTGTCAGCTGCTGCTCTTGCAGTCTCTGATCGTTTGTGCTGCGGTTTAAGCGACGCTCTCTAGTGCGTTATACATATTTATTCATCGCTTCCTGCTCTCTAGAGCTGCTACTGCTGCTACTTGGATAAAACGGAGTGTGATTTTTCGTTGCTGCTTATTACTACCGTTGCAGCGTGGGGCAAGGATTTCACCACTGGCGCAGCAGCAGCGATTATCATCGTCGAGCGTATTATGCTGCGGGCTCCAAAGAGCTGAACCGAAACTCCGCTCTGCTCTCGCGTCTCACCGAATATATAAACTACGATTATAAAAGAAGAAAGCCAACGATGCCCGCCAAAGTGAGCGATTAAAAAAAATCTACTATAGGTTACTCTTGCGTTGCGATAACGGAGACAAAAACGTGCTGCTGCTGCTGCTCTTACCATGCTGCACGAGTCGTTCGTTTTTTGACAGCTACGTGCAGCAGCAGCAGTATAATTGCGCGTAAACCCTAGCATATAGATATAAATATCAAATATATATATATATACGAACTCTCGATAACGAGACCAAAGTCGCACGCGCGCGCGAGTCAAACACAAGCGACACGCGTTTTTTTCCGCGCATTGTTATTGTTTTGTTCTGTTCTGTCATCGTCGTTCCTCGTTTAAAAAAAAATCTTCATTTCTCTCTTTTTTTTTTCTCTCTCTCCCATCGACAGATAACGGAAATCAAGTGCAAACGCTGTCGGAATCTGCTGTTCACCGAGGAGGCCTCGCCGTCGCTCACGTCTCACGGACAGGTCGTGGCGCAGGGCTCGCGCAACACCAAGTGCAACAGCGACGTGCCCGAGGACTGCATCTACCTGGCCGAGGACAACATGCCCGATTGGATACACGAGGTCGTCGACAGGGTACGCGTGCTTTGCTGAACTTTCTATCGGTTGTGCGGATGCTTGTCATGCTGTTATGTGTTGCTTAGTCGCGAGCCACAGCTTGTTTTCGTATAAATCTTCTTCGGTGTAACGTCGAGTGGGTGGGGTGGCACGCGAAGGCTTTTCATTGCGGCGCGAGGCCAATGCCAGAGATATAATACGTATGCATACGTATTTGTTGTTGCTCGTCGGGAGTACACCGATTTCTACGCCTTTTTGCACAATTATTTTAAAAAATATCGTTACAATACCTTGTTTACCTTAGCTGTGCATAGATGAAATTTTTTTTTTATCAAATTTACATTAGAGCTAACGAACCGATATTTCATTACATTTAATTAGAAACATTATTTTAATAATTCCACTTTCTTTTTTAGGAAAATTGGATAAAAGGTAAACTATATTGTCCACTTTGTCACTCCAGAATTGGCTCGTTTGACTTTGTGAGCTCGAAAAAATGCAACTGTGGAGAATTTGTTCCACCACCCATCAGAATAACATATTCAAAAGTTGACGCACCCCATCGGTGATGCTGAAAATGGATTACAAATAGTTATTAAGTTTAAAATCATTAGTAATAATGTATATGGATCAAACTGTATAGATTTATCAAAGTGAAAGGAAACTTAGTCTACTAGAAAATTATATTGTTATTGGAATAGCCTAAGTTGCCTTTCACAAATTCAATTTTCACTTAAGCTACTAAATAATGTAATTCGTAAAAGTTTATTTCAATGTATAGACTCTTGCAATATACAATTCATTTTTGATTTCCTTTTTTTTTTCGCTTCAACAAATGTAAATAATGGTTGATCATCTCATCTTTCTAGTTACTGATACTTTAGCTTTAATAAATGAATGTTAAAAAATTCATTTTTAAAACATGATCAACAAAATGGTACAAATTGAAATTAAGAGCTTCCTATATAAGGTTTTCTCTGTATATGTCACTTTATATTGTTATATATTATTACAAATGAATATAATTTGAAAAAAAAATTAAAGTTCTAAATTTTACTGCATATTTATATTATGTTGTAACTCAAAAGGCTATTCATAGTTTTACTATTTAAAACAAAATATAAAAATTGTTACAAAAATATTAATTATTTAAGTAATAGTTTATGAGACATTCACAAAATTTAAATGTAAATTTGCTCGTTATACTTGAAATAATTGATTGTTTAATTGGCTAATTTGTTAATAAATGAGTGACTTATATCATTTGTTAGAGTATTAAAGAAATACTATTTGCTGTCAAAAGTTGTAGATATTATAGAAGCATTCGATACTCTGGATTTTTCAAAATAAAAGTAGATTGAATTTGTAAAAGTGAAAATAGCTGAATATTTAAATAAAAAATAATGATAAATAAAACTTTTGTAATTCTTTATATTTAAATGTAAATGACTAACAGAAATGTATAATAAATGTATAAATGATCTATCTGGAACATTAAGTATAAGTATTTCTTTCTCACGTTAAAGATTAATATTTATTTATTAATAATATTAAAGATTATTATTATTTTAAATCAATTATCTCTTGAAAAATTAATATGGTGTAATGATATCTTTTAAAATTAATAAGAGCAATATAAATGTTACATATTTTTTCATTTGATTCAAAGCCTTCAATAAAAAACATAAGTATAAAATTCGATGTCAAATAAATTTTCCGACATTTCAGTTAAACACTATTACAAAAATTTTTTCCATGTCAGAGATATTTTTTTTTTTTAAATTAGCTTCGCAATCAGTTGATCCTATGCAATGAAATAAAAAAATAAAATAAGCGGATTTAACCGTTCTTCGACGAAATTGAACATAGGTATATATATTCTAAGTACATTTTATAAAAATGTATCAAGTCACAATGTGTGAGTGGTGCGTCATATCGATGTGAGCTTTGAGGTTTCTTCTTTTTCCAAACGTTTTTCCGCATATATCGCATGCATGGATGATATTATTATGCGATGATTTAACATGTTTATAAAATTGAGATGGATATTTGTATTTTTCTTCACAGAAATTACATGCATAGCTAATACCATTATGCTTCGCATTCATGTGGACTTTAAGATGAACCTTTCTTCTATATTTTTTACCGCAATCAGCACACGAGTAGGTAATGCCATGATGTACTGATTTGACATGATAATTTAAATTGCTCTTAGATGAGAAATTTTTTTCGCATATTTTACATGTGTGAGTGACACCATTATGCACAAAATCGATATGATTTTGAAGATGTTCCTTTCTTTTGAATGTCTGGCCGCATTCATCACACGAGTTGGTAATGCCATGATGTACTGATTTGACATGATAATTTAAATTACTCTTAGATGAGAAATTTTTTTCGCATATTTTACATGTGTGAGTGACACCATTATGCACAAAATCGATATGATTTTGAAGATGTTCCTTTCTTTTGAATGTCTGGCCGCATTCATCACACGAGTTGGTAATGCAATGATGTACTGATTGGACATGCCTATCTAAATTACTTTTATTGGAGAAATTCTTTTCGCATATTTTACACGTGTGAGTGACACCGTTATGCACTATATCGATATGATTTTGAAGATGGTCCTTTCTTTTGAATGTCTTGCCGCATTCATCACACGAGTAGGTAATGCCATGATGTACTGATTTGACATGATAATTTAAATTGCTCTTAGATGAGAAATTTTTTTCGCATATTTTACATGTGTGAGTGACACCATTATGCACAAAATCGATATGATTTTGAAGATGTTCCTTTCTTTTGAATGTCTGGCCGCATTCATCACACGAGTAGGTAATGCAATGATGTACTGATTTGA